CAAGCCGTTTGTGTAGATGGGTGTCACATTTGCTAACCTCCAGTCAACTGATACCTCCCCGGTTAGCCAGGATTGCTGATAAATGGTGGGAAGTGGCTTGGTGAGCACTTCTGCCTCTCTACCTTCATGTGGATCCCATCTGGCCCTATAGACCTGTGCGTGTCTAAGTGGTGTAGCAGGTCACTGACCATGCACCCTTGGTCTAGAGGAGCTTCATTCTGCTCCCTGTCTTCCAGCTCAGGGAGCAGGGTACCCTGAGAATATATACGAGGGGGTAATGAGAAGGAGACTGCTGCTGTTCCTCACTGTGCTGTAAAATCTTTTGATGGATGTTAGGATCATCTAACATAATTTGCTATGACAGAACACTGAGTAATACAGAATGTTCATTAGAGTTATTCATTAAGGATTTACAGTTTTTAGCTGGAGCGCTGTCACAGGTTTGGTTGCTTCATGACACTGCATGCTGAGGTTATGCAAAAAATGCCAATGCTTCTAACATGTATTATTTATCTGTTTTTGGAGCTGATGTGTTCCTACTAAATGGATTATAACTTCAGAGTCTCTAATTTTCAGGAGCTGGAATTAAATTTGAGCATGGATGCGGGTTGTATTTGGCTGTGTGCATAGCACGGGGCCCAGTTCTTACTTTCCTGGGCTTTGTGCTATGTACCATTGTGCTTCCATACCCTCCTGCACAGACTCAGGTCATGATGAACCAGAGCTACATGACCTAAGGATTGTGCTTAGGCACATTTGCAGTAGCACAGATGAATGGCTGAGCATTAGATCTGAACACAAAAATGGAGTGCTCTGTTCTTCTATAGCTTTTTCATTCTTCTGTAGGTTTTAAATTTTAATTAATCTATAGGCTTTTAATTTGAAGAGTAGTGAACAACCAGTTTTATTGAGAAACTTTAATGCAGTTCATCTGTTGAATGGATAATTATCTCATGGTGATTTGTGAAAATACTCTGAAAATAAGGTGGTGTTATCGTAGCTTGTTTTTCACCTACTGTGGCTTTGTAATCAATTACTGTATGTACTCCGCTGCACTGAATGTGGCGGTGAGTGAGGTAAGGATACATTTAAAACCATGGAATGGAAGTAAGATGCACCAAGTGACGTAAAGAAACCTGTGGGAGACTAATAGATAGAGAAAACTCTGCGATCTGGAGCCGAGGGGAAATACTACCATTTAGGTACAGCTCCACTTGCCTGAGAGCAGCGCCTTTGCTTGGGATTGGTGATACTTCACAGACAGGTTTAAAAACAAAACCTGCTTAAAGATGTTTAGATTGGATATAAGGAGGAAATTCTTTGTTGTGAGGGTGGTGAGGCACTGGAATGGGTTGCCCAGGGAGGTTGTGAATGCTCCATCCCTGGCAGGTGTTCAAAACCAGGTTGTACGAAGCCTTGGGTGGTACGGTTTAGTGCGAGGTGTCCTTGCCCATGGCAGGGGGGTTGGAACTGGATGATCTTAAGGTCCTTTCCAACCCAAACCATCCTGTGATTCTGTGATGTGTCAGAACATCCTCAAGCAGTCAGCTTCTCTGTCACTGAACACTGTTCAGCAGCTGACTTGTGGGCACCAGGAGCAGCAGCTGGGCAGGACTGCAGTGTTCTTCACAAGCTGGCAGGTTTTCAGGAGTTCTGGGATATGGTACCTGCCCTGGTGAGCTTCGCCTGTGGACTTGAGACAAGTCCTAGTTACGAAAGCTGCTTTTCAAGTGCAGAGGACTAGATTAAGGACAGGTTTTTACATGAATCTGCTGAGTATTAAATTAATAAAACCATTGTGGTACTGGGAATAGTAAGAATATTTTAAAGTTTCTGTTACTTCAGTAAATACCAGTCTAGAGAAATACTGTTTGTGTTATGCTTCCGCTTGAGCATAAATATTAGATCTGGAGGTGTATGTGTTTGTGTGATAGTGATGGGCGTGGTGTTCCTTTTGTTGTTGTTGTTTCTGATGCTTGTTTTGAGGCATTTGTTGAGCACTGGTGTTGAGCAAAATCTCCAGGAGCCGAGGACTTAGGGGGTTAGGCTTCTTGCTGAAGATGCTAGGAGCTGATCGTGCTCATCCAGTTTGGAGTGGATCGGGTTATATAGAAACAATGGTTTAAGAAAAAAGCAATTTTCACTTTTAGTAAACTTAAATGTGCCAAATGTGAAACGATAGTGCAACATGTAGGTACAGGCCTTTAAGTATGTAGGTTTAGTATTAATATAAGAAAGATCTTTTGGACAAGTTAAAATCTGAATAAGAGGAGTTACTGGCCTACACACTTGTAGTTTGAGTTTTTCTTAATGCTTAAATTGGCTTTTGTTAGCTGTAATTGTCTCTGAAACCAGAACAGAGATTCTCTACAAGATGGTTCATCTGCTTGGGGTCAAAGAACGACTTACACTGAGGAAGCAGGAAGTATTTTTGTCTTTTGTTTTCCTTCACTCTGTAGATAAAAGTTATGCTAGAGGATGTACCAGACCCAACCTTGAGAAATGTGACCAAAATGAGTGAACTACGTGTGAGGTACACACAAAACTGCTACTATTTGTTAAAACCTTACATGCAAACCCAAAACATGTACTGTACTTCAAGCTTATCCTTCCCAATACTTGCATTTCAGAGTAATAGCTTTTAACTGAATAACATTAAATACTGGGTTTGTACGTTTAATCAAATTTCAATTTCCATACAAATGAAGCTCAGCAGACAAGAACAAACAATTAGTGTAACAAATGAGAAGTGGCATTTCTTTGTACTAAAAGCTGAAATAGTTTCAGATCTATGGTTGCTGTGTAAATGCTGAAGCCAGATGCATCTGTAGTTTTAGCTACCAAAAGAATTTCTTCAAGTGTCAGACTTTACTGACTGGTGAATCTCTTTAATAGAGATTTAGTCATTGCAACCAGAAAAACTCAAAACTTTCATAATTAGTGATTGCAGTCACTGAATTTAATCTCTGTATCAAAGCACTCTCCTGAACTGAGACTTGTAATTTTGGAGCCTTTAATTTAGACTTCTGGCTCCTCATCTCTACCTCTTAAATTGTGAATTGCCAAGTCATCAGGGTTTTTGTGCTGCTAGTGGTTTATATATCAGAGTTAAGAACATTGGTCATTTCTGCTTTTGGAGACATTTGGGTTTTAACTGTTTGGTTTTGTACTGGTTCTTGTAATGGTAAACTTCAGTTTCTTGAAAATACAAGTTTGAAATCTGGATTTTGAAAACTTCCTGTTCACCTAATGCTGTACAGGAGATGTTTATTATATGTACCTGAGACAGGACCTCTGGCATTTCTATTGGATGTAGCATTTCTTCAGGCTGAGTTACTCTTAACATCTCTGCCTTAAACTGAAGGAGGATAAATAGTCCTGTGAAGATAGTATCAAGGCATTCTCATTTACCCACCAGCTTGTCTTTGCAAAAGTGTTTTGATGTGTAAATGGTGCTGGTAGGCTAGAAGGGTGCTTTTTGAGGTCCATATGCAGTTGGTTTCTGTCACTTGGCAGACATTTTTAGAGCTTGCTGGTTTTTGATCATTCCCAAGAGCTATTTTCACCTCTGCAGCTTCTCCTACCCCTCTGGTGGTGTGACCTGGTGCAGGTTTTCAGGATCAGAGCTGTGACTCTGGTTGGTATTCGAGGCTTTTCTTATGGTACGGAAGTGAAGGTTCCAGCTATGTTCACAGGGCAGCTTCTGGTAGCACAGGGCTGAAACAAACCGCTTTGCCTCTGAGGAGATGTGTGTAATGCCAGCATATAGGAAAACATCTATTAGAGCTAATATTTAAAAACTAATACATTAGGAGATGATTTAGCTTCATTGACAGACCACTATTATAAGGCCAAATTCCACATTACTTGATACCAGCTCAGTACAATTATATTTCTGCTAAATTAGCTGGAGCATACGGTCTTTCTGGTTGTAGGGGACAGACTGTAGCTGATCTGACTTAAAATTAATGTAGACAGACAATAGCTTAATTTGATCCAAAGCTTGCAGTTTCAAAGCCAACTGATCAAATCCATTCAGGAAACTGAACTAGCAAGGTGAACTTGTATCGAATCAACACTTTGCCTCATGCGCCTGTAACAATCTTGATTTGATATTGGGAAGCTCTAAAATGAGATTTACTGCGTGGAAAAGTAGTCTCAGGTACTGGATATAGATCCTCTCTGCCTTTCTTTCAAATAAAACAGTGTATTTAAGTGACAAATTATCCCTTATCTTTTGCAATAAAACAATAAGAAATTAGTTCCAGTGTAAATGCAAGCAGGTGTCCTAATCAAATACATCTCAAAAAGACTTAAAATGAAGCAGAAAATGCAGGTACTGTAATGCCCAGGCAGTGTACTGACCAAGTGTGCATCTGCAGGAAGGGTGCACGGTGGCTTCCCAGTGCTCAGGCTCCAGAAGGAAAATGTTCTCAATTACACGGAAAGATTACAAGAGATGATTGAACCTGAAAGGGCTTCCTGGATTGGTTTATAATGGCAAAAATGTGTTTGTTTTATGAAACATGTGAAGCTAGCTGGAAATTAAAGCAGGGGGTGTGTGTGTATTTTATGCATCTGTCATGAAGCCCTTCCTGTGGAAAATGCTTCTAGTAAATGTCTGTTTTGAGTGCTTAGCAGAAAATCTGGAAATTAGCATGCTCTAAAGAAAGCTTAAAAAGCTGGGTGAGCCCTGTGTTGAGATACGTGATGAGTGCTGTGAAACACCTGGCATTCAATATGTAATTGGGAAAATGTCTGGAAGAAAAGCTTTCTGTAAGGATCTAAGCAACAACCTCAAACTTAGGGTTTTTTTCCCCTGTATGAAACCTAAATTTCTCTATTAGTGAAAAATCTTTTCTGTTTCATTGCTAACTTAGAAAAATAATGATGAGGATTTCTTGTTTGTATGGCACACTTTAAATGTATTTATAATCTTGCATGTTATTTCCGGTGCTTCCAAGTGTTTTGTAAGATTTCTTTCAGATTTCAAATTACAGGTCCATGTGTAGCTTTGGCAAGACTTCTTTCAGGTGAGTGGCTTGTGGCAGATTATGTTCCCTAATAATGTGTCCCAGCAAATTGCTATTGGGTTTTTTTGGCCTTCACTTGACAGTAAGTTTTATCTTTGGCTATATATTAAGCTTGTAGAGCTAGTGTATGGTCCGAACCTGATTTCCATTTTTCTTCTTTTTGTATATAAAGTTAAGGAGTTTCTTGCTGTCTCTGGCCAATTCATAGCTCTCAATAAACTGTTGCTAGAGAGAACAGGTGAAGCGTTACCAGTGAATGGGTTGTTGTGAATTGTTGATATTTCTGACAGGCAGACGTTCCTTCAGGTAGGGGTGTGCTGATGAACCAGCAGGTTCCGTGGGTTTTTGGCAAGAAACGCAGTGTTGTCATGAAAACATGGAAGCAGCAGTCAGTACAGCTGACTTCTGCTCATAGTCTTATCTTATCTGTAGCCTTTGGCAAGCTGTACAATTTTTCTGTACTTCCTTGTAACCACTGGCAGAAGGATGCTGTGGTTGGCAAGGTTGTTGAGGGTTGATGTTGTACAAGTGCTTTGAGATGCTGAAGTGAAGAGACTATAATGACACCATCACTTGAAGTGTTTTTGTGTTTTCAGACTGCTTGAGCTTTGTGATGTTTTGTAAGTTTATACTGCATGTAGTGCAAAAACTACAACTGCTTCTATTTCCAAAGTTTTACTTGCCTCCCATCTTTCCAGCATGTGCCAGATGAATTTAATTGCTTTAAAATGAAATTTCAGTGCACGAAATTTTGTGTTGTAGCAGAGCTAAGGCTGCATCTGATCCTTGAAAGAAAAAGAAGCCTTTTATGTTAGAATCTCTTATGTGAATCATAATAGTGCTGCTGTAACTTGTCACGTCGTACATGAACGCTGGAGGTGGTTGCATTTCCATTTTTTCACTTCTAGGCAGTTGTTGATGCCGTTAGCTAATGTGGTATCAGTGCCTCTGCTCCCACAGCTGCTGGCTTATAGCTGAACTTGCGCCATTACATATTTCCTAACAAGTTTGAAAATACAGAATGTTTTATCTTTAACAGCTGGTGGAAAATGAGTGGTTTTAGTGCTGCTAGGAGGTGAAAGGTTAAGATGTTTTCTTCCTCATTTGTTTTTGCTGTGAGTTACCACCAATAGCTATGAACAGTGCGGGATAACTGGCTTTAGGGACAAAACAGGGACTGGTATTTTTGGAACTTTGCTGTTCTTTTGAAGAACTGGAATCTTGTATGGATAAAGAAGCCTTTTTTTATTTACCACTCTCCTGGAAAGAACAAAGTCTGACCATCAGCTAAGTGATCACTTGCATTTCAGGAAAGGTGCATGGTTACACTGTGTTGTACTGCTGTTCCCCTGCTCATACATGAATCATGTTCTGCTGCTGGTGCCATCACTTGATTTTTACTTTTTTTTTTTTTTAACAATAGACTACTGAAATGAAGTGCTTGACAAGGTTGTAGCGACTAGCACCTGTTCTGTGCATCCTCACCTCTCCCAAATTTCTCTGTTCCTTGGCCAAGTATGTTCATTATAGGCTTCTGTCTGTTTTAATATATGTATTTTACCTCTGAAGGCCCCTGCTCTGGCTAGCTGATGTGCTCTGCTGTGGGAGTCATGAGCCTGGTGTGCAGGGCTGTGTGGCACACACAGGGCTGAATGGTGGCAGGCGCTCTGCTGCCTGGGCTGCTGACCTTCCCACCCTCTGCTGTATCTGGTCTGGGTGACAGCCACCAGGATGGGTATGGTGGGGCCTTAATGGAAAAACCTGCACTCCATCAGTGGCAGGAGGCTTCTGAAACTTCTGATCTTAAACATCAGTCCTAAAGGAGGCCATCAGTTATGTCCAAACCCACCCTGAGCACAAGTAAGAGAGGCAGTTAGAATTTCTCAGATGATTGCATCTTGTTCCTCTGTGTTAAGCCACAATAGTCATCATGTCAAAGCAAAACAATTCAGATGAAACTCTTTCTATAACTGCACAGGATTTATGTAGTTCATTAACAGGTAGAGACATGGGCCCTGGCTTAGGGTAGCTCAGGAGTTGGTATTGGCAGTGTTTGCATAAAATGGAGATTTCAGTTCTGCAGTATTTCTTTCAGTGTCACTTTTCCCCCCTGCCGTTGCCGTAGAATTGCATAGTTTCCTTGGTCTGAAATAATAAGTGCATCTGACATAGCATGGTTTCCATTGGGAACGATTGTTCAGCTGGTTGGAGTGGTGTTTTAATAGAAATGTTTTCTACTCTTCCATGTATCCACATTCTTCAGAGAGGAGTGTCTGTAGCACAGGAAGTAATGACATTACGGCATGTAACTGGCATTTTTTTAATGCCCATAATATTGGGATGGAGTCATCCTTTTATCTGAGCCAGTTGTATGTAATTGTACGTAAAACAGTAATAACGTGTATGAAATTGTAGAGACAAAAATATACTGGTTTTGCCATGTGCATGTTGACTTGTGCTCTCCTGGTGGATGCTGCCTCTGAAACCAGAGGGCTGCAGAACAGCTTTCTTCACAAGGGTGTGTGCATGACTTCCATTACAACCAAGCAGTAAAGAAATTAAGGGTTTATCTAAAGTATCGAACTTTGAATTGAATTTTGCTATAACTACAGGGGGATGCAGCAGTAGAAAAGTGGAACCGGGCTGCGAATAGTCTTTCATGTGTTAAAATATTTACCACAGTCTCCAGTGTAAATTCTGTGCTTGGAACTGCAATGATAGAACTTTCTAAGAAGCCTTCCGCTGCGTGCTGACATTGCACAAAAGTGGTGAAAGAAGCTGCAGTGATTTACTGAAGACTGGCTGCTTTCTGTGAGCTTCAAATTCGAGTAGTTTCAATTTCAGCTGGAGGTTTTGTGTGTGTTCGGTTGTGTTTGGTGTGGGTCCTCCCCCCTCCAATTTAGAGGTAGATTCTAAATTTTCCTCTTCTGTTACATTGGGCAAGTGAAGCTTAACCTTTTATTCCTCTAATTTGGGGGAATAACAGGTTTTATTTCCCCCTTTTCCTCTTTGGAGTAAAGAAAATAACTTCAGTTATTGTTCAGGGAGAGGGAATTATTGTGACCTAAGGTGATAGATTATTTTATGATTATTATTATTTTCCCTGTTAGCTCTTTGGACTGAGTAAAACTCTTAACTGGGTGAGCACACTCTTCTCTTGGCTGTGGCTGTCAGTAGTCTGGCAGGTCTGTGTGAGTTCTTAGCCATTTTGTGACCTGGATGTTTGCTCTGAGTAGGTGGTTGCTAAGAGGATGTGTCTGCTTTTATTTTTCTAGAAGAGCAGGTCTGTGCTTTGCAGAGAAACCAGTACTGGAGCTGGATTTTAGTCTAACATCAAATTAGAAACCTATTATCAATATCCTATACCAATTACTAGGTGTACAGTTACAGCTTTTATTGAGATTGCATGATGACTGGTTTTATTACGACTGGTCATGTTGTCTAAACACTTAAATGTGACCTCTGTCTTGATCTAGCTTAAATGTGTGTTTCAGGAAAGTAATAACTGCAATTACAGTTGCTTTTAGGTTGTATACTGTGGACAAGAGAAAACGTGCTAGTGTGGTAATTCTTCCCTGCAAACAGTTACTTACTTGATCCTTTCACACCCCCCCCCACCCAAGGTGGTCATTTTTTAGACATGGGTTACCTGGGATTATTGTAGCTCGCTGAGAGGAAAACATGCAAAATTGCTCAAAAACGTTGGTTTTGGAATTTTCACAACCACCATCCAGAAGATGGGCAGTGCAGAAGTGAACCTATGGATGCTAATGGGGACCTGCAGACCTGCCCTTGTTCACTTACATAGCCAGATTATGTTTTTTTTTCTCATGCAAAATGTTTTGAGGGACACAAAACGAAGCTGTATTATTAGGTGCTGGCATTTGATAGATGGAATTGATATGAAAAAGCTATGTAGAAAATCGTACTTTTTATAATGCTAATTAGGTCTGACAGTATAATGATGGCAAGTAGGCAGTATTCTTACAGAAGCAGGAACTAAATGTTTGCAGATATTGACAGTTTCTTGTGAAGGATATGTTTGCATGGAGAATCACTACAGAAGAGCTTAAGCTAGAAAGTGAAAGCATATTCATGGCTATAGAAATTGTTTTACAAACAAGTCTGTGAAATGGCTCTGAATCAGGCTGGACGTTTGCACAAGTCTAGTGGGTCCTGCTGTACATAGTGATTGGAATGGAAATATGGGTCTGAATTTATTGTGTGATATAGCACGTAACTACCAGAGCATATTTCGGTTGAACTTTGCTTCTGAGAAAAGTGAATAAGCAGTCCTCAGTGCCCCACAAGAAGTAAATGGGTAACTCTGTGGTGATAGCTGCTCCCATGGTGCCCTTATCAGGAAGGTTTTACCAAGGATGTTTAAGAGAATTATTTCCCAAGCATAGGAAGGTGGCCCTCCTGACTGTTAAAACCACACAGTTTAACACATGGAAGTGGTCTGAAACAAAGCAGCTTTTTAACAGGCTGAGTTATCCAGAGGTTTTGTCCATTAACATTCAGTGATATGTTACGTGATGGATGATTAATACACGTAAAACTTGCAAGAATAAATAACACTTCAAACAAAGCACAATTTTATTCTTCTTTCCTAGAGCTCCGCTGCACCCCAGGGCAGTTTGCGTGTCGAAGTGGTACCATCCAGTGCATCCCTTCAAATTGGCAGTGTGATGGATGGCCCACCTGTGAGGATGAGAGTGATGAAGTTGACTGTCCGGGTAAGTAAACCTGAGAATACTGCTCATCCCAGTGTCAGCTTGTTTTGCAGCAGTATGCTGACTTTTTAAGGTCATTTGCTTATTTTTAATTGATAGTGGTGATTGATGGAACTGTACCCGTTATTAACAAACTCTGAATTGTCTCCTTTTTTTTCTTCTGGTTTTTTTTGCTTCCTTCCTTACAGTCTGATTAGGTATCCTGGAGATGAGAGTTTGTATTCTAAAAAGAGACTTTCATGACAAGTTAAAAATCGTGATTAAATGAAAATGCTACATAGGCCTGTGGTTAAATTCAGAATTACTGTTTTGGTTGAATGTGTATATCATTCAAACTGGGTGACGCTGTTGGACTTAGGTGGAGAGCTTGTTTTATTGCTGCCTATTCTGATTACACTTCTTGTGCTTAAGTGGAGAACTTTGTTCTTCCAAACAAGCTGGTGTATTAACTCTTCATCAGCTTTTGTGGTCATATGCTCTCAGAAGCCTGTCACCAGCAGTGGCTCTCTGCTAAAGCTACTGGATACTGAGATGTCTTAAAAAAGGCAAACAGAAGTTTTTGATTGTGAATATATGTAATCACAATTTTGAACCTTTTTATTTGTTCTTCACAAACAGGCCAGTGCATCTCTTTTATTGTGTGTCTTAAAACTTTTCTCTACAGTGTTACTAAATTACATTCAAAAACTGTTGTAAGAAGTTCTTTGCCACTAAACTACTTAATTTGCTTGGGAGAGAATCACATCAACTTTTCAGTTGTCATCACAGCATGCAGTCTGTCATCATTCTGAGTTTTGAGCTACTTTATAGAGGTGCCACAAAATTGTAACATCAGTATTTTACAGCAGCAAGCTCTTCTAAATATACGTGTTTCCTAGTGGAATTAGAGAAGTAAATCTAACACACAAACTTTGAAGCTGTGCTGTAGTTACCCATCTCCCCAGTGTGTGCTATACACAAATAATTGAAAGAATGTTTTCAGTGCTCTCTTCTAAAAAGCTTTTGCCTAGTTTGTGTGAGTGTATGTATTCACAGCATGGGGGGAAAAGCTGTTGGTAGTTTCTTCTGACATTGAAAAATAAGCTGTGCCATTGATACCTTGTTTAAGGATATTCTTTACAGTATGGATGTCCTAAAGAAAAATGCCTTTATAGTTGTGCTGTTATTTTCTGTCCTTTTTAACTTTGGCAAAATGTGAAAAAATACGGACCTAGTAAAATTCTGGAGGTTAATGGAAGACAGTGGCTAGAGGAAAGCAAAGTCATGTTTGGATTTACTCAGATAGCACTGAAGGCTTCACTTGCGGGAATATGGGAACATTTACATTAGTAGAAAACAGTATTTTTATCGTCTCTTGTTGCCTAGTGTATTGATCAGCAATTTAAGTTGTTGCTGGAGGATGCAACAGGATGATGTTGACTCAAGGACTGGAGGTACAAAGAATGTTTGGTATATGGCTAGGAAAGGGATTTTAATGAAAGTAACATTTCTCAGTAGATAGGCCTTGCTTTTGTGTTTGGGGTGTAGGTCTCACTGGGCTGTCTGGCCTGACGCAATAAGAAGAACTTTAAGAAATGAAAGGAGATGTGTAGGAGAGATTTGATTCATTGTCATGTCTGTATGCAGGAAGATGAGAATAACATACATAAGGAATACTAGGGGAGAAAATGATGGACAGCATAGAGAAGGAAAGTATTGCACTTGATGAGAAGAGTAATTGGATAACTAATTGGTGAAAAGGCTGTGCTTGGTGAAACAGCCAGAAAGCTGGGTGTGGTGGTTATGAAAGAACTGGGGTATTTGCACAGTAATGCAAGGAGTGTATGTAGCCAGCAAACCAGAGGAACGAGAACTACTGGTGTAGGATGTAAAAATTCTATTATACCTATAAGAAAAAAATTGGTGGGACAGCTTTGTGACCCAAAATGGGTGTTGAAGGACATCTGTTACTCAGAACTGTCAAGAATAAGAACAGGTTGGTGTGTTGGTGTGCAGGTGAATGGCAGGCTGGAATAGGGGAATAGGGTGAAGTAAAAATTCTGAGGCTACAATAAGTTTGGAAGAGCATGGTTTTCTTATGTTGGGGAAGACTGTACATATGTGACTAGTCACAGGAGAGAGTAAGTCCTGGTAAGTTGATTGGGGAGCTAATGCTACTAACAATAGTAGTACATAATCATACTCAGGAATGATAACTTTCTTCTTTGGCCACTGAATTAACAAGAAATGATGCAGCTTTAAATTTAGAAAATACCTTTGGATTTGGATGAGCAATTGTGAGATGATTCAGCTAAATTTAAGTACTTTTTAATTAAGGTTCTTAATTTCAATAAAGGCAGACTAAACACTAAAAGAACAAGTTAATGAAGCCACCTGGACTTGTGAAACATGGAGAATTAATGTATCTTTAAATTAAAAGGTATGAAATCTCTGTGAAGCATGAAAAGAAAGCTTGCAAGGAAGGGTTCTGAATCTGGTTGGGAAGCTTGTTACTTTTCAGCCTTCGAGCTACTAATGGCACACTCCATGAGGAGCTCTGAAAGATCAATGGCAGTGAATTAGTGTTTTATGGTGGTGATGAAGGTGAGTTTCGATGACTACTTCGCATGTTGGTGTTTTCAAAGGTTTAATACAAAGACATTGTAAGTTTTGTCACTATTGGTTTAGTTCACCTTTTCTAGGTCTGATTCATTCACATGAGTAACAAAACTCCTATTAAAATCAGAAGATCATAAATTAATAAAGTATTTTGGTAATCACATGTTGCCTGAAGTACAAGGAAGCAGCCCAAACCCTAAGAACTTTTTTGTTAGAATAATTTCTTACGGCTTTTTTTCAGAACACAAATAGGTACAACATTAATTCATTGACCATCTGAATTAAATGTATGAAATGCCTATTTTTGCTAGGCCATATATTTCTCTGAATGTAGTCATAATAGCTGTTTTCATTCTTACTGTCTCTTTTCAGAATTATCATGTTCCTCTAAAACATGGAATTCCTTTCAGTCCCAAACTTGCAATGTGTGGAGTGCTATTCCTCCTGCCCTTCCCACTAGGCAAGCAAATATTAGTGGAATCTGCAGCAGTGATTACCCTCAGTTCATCTCTGGTAGACTAAAGCTCTTGGCTGCCTGCTCTTGTGAGCATACTAAAAATTGCTGGGAGGGTTTATGTAGCATGTGCGTGCAACTCTCTTCCACTTAAGCAATGGAGACTTAGGAGATTTGTGTACTCTTCCATATCGACAGTAACTGATCCTAGAAATAGTTTATCCCAAAGTGGTGTATTCTGTGAAATGGTAGAAACAGGCATTAATATCTTTAATATGGACTTTTACAAATGGGAATTTCTTATTTTTACTCACTTTCTCTTATGTTTCTATACAAGTATTCAAAAGAGTAACACAATGTTTTCACTGCATTTAAGAAGTTCTGCACTTAAACCCTGAAGAAGGAAGGGCTCTGCAATTTGCCTTTTACTGCTTATGGAAATTCCAGCCTTGCTTCTACCAGAATATCAGATCAGCTTCTTCAAGTATCCTGTAATCTTTGCAGGCCTGTTGGGCAAAACTCATGTACAGCAGCACAAGTGGAGCAGGGTTTAGTGTGTCTCTGACTGTTTACCTGTTTTAATCTTATGCTACAGACTTGATATTTGTTATGTATGAACAAAAAAATGGATGTCTTAAACTCCAGTGTCTGTTGTAATTCCTATGCCTACCAGTTATTCAGCTTGCAATATATTGGTGACCAGTCTGTTTTGTCTTTTTATTTATGTTTTAAATTGAATTCTTCCCAAGAATAAGTGATGAGATTGTGGTGTCAGCTGTGCTTGGGTTTCTTCCAGCATCTGAATTTGAAACCCTTCAGCTCATCCCGTAGTGCACACTTGCCTAATGCCACATTCTTCTTGTATAGGTTATTTCTCAGTACTGTTTCCTAGGCCTGCTTGGTCAGAAACAGGAACACTGGGAAGTTTCAGGTTTTCCCTGCCTGAAGCCACAGTCAGCACTGGAGAGCTGGCCACCCCGGTGGCCATGGTCCCGGGCCAGCAGTTGCAAGCAGTGGATAGTTGGTGGTATGACCTGCCCTGCAGTTCCATGGGAAACAGTACAACTTTAAATGTTTTTATGTTGAGATTGGGAGCCTAATTTCATACGGAAACAGCCTTATGGGGGAGCCAGCAGTAGATGCTTATCTTGAGTAATGTCTTCTTGTATGCTGTTCTTAAGGACTTCCCCAGATACCCTATCAGGAAGAAATGTGCAGACTTGGAGGTCACTTACCCCAACACATACACACTACATCATCTCTGAGGCTGCAAAATCTCCTTTGTGGAGTCCACTGAAGGCAGGTACCATAAAGCAGCAATGCAGCACAGTTTTGCAATCATCATAAACAACTTTGTGTTTTGTTTCACCAAGTTTATTATGTTTGGTCAAAGTGGCTCTTGTCATTTGTGCACTTCTTAGTGCATCTCTTTTTTAAAAGCTAGATAATAATGATAAAAACTTGATAATTTCCACACCTTTTTCAGAACCCTTTCTGAACTCCTATATGAGTCATCCTTTTTACCCTACTTTAAATTATTATGAGCCCCTTTAAATTATTACGAGCACTTTACTGTTGTTCTATTACTTTGAATAGTGCTCAGCGCAGCAGGATGCTGTTCTTGGTTGGCATTTATTTCCTAGCATAGAACAATTGATAATGCAAAGCATTTCAGAAGAATCACTCCTCTCTGGAGACTTCTGAACTGTATTTCCAAATCTTAAGGCACAGAACTGGATTTTATCCTGAAGTTCTCTCACCTCTCAAATTATCAGATGGAAATAAAAGCTTTCCAAGCTGTAGTAGGTAATGTGTTGGACAAAGTATTGGACGCTGAGGGGACAGGGCAGCTTCCTATGTAAATTTTGTGAATCTGTGTTTAAACAGGTGCAACTCAAATCTTGGAACAAATAAGATATGACAAGACCTGACAGCTTCACAGTTTAATTTTGACATAATTTGACACAGTGCATCCATCCTTTTGAAGGGTTTGTCTTGAGTGACTTGTCATCTGTGACACAGTAGCTCTGGAAGCTAGTTCAACTCCCCAAAATCCAGTATATCCCCCTTTGAGTCTTGACCCTTCAAGGACCTCTCTCTATTACAGTCAGTGTCTTCTGCCTGCCTGCCCTTTTCTTGGTGCAAAGCAGACCTTGGTGTTTGTGGCAGATTGCAGTTCCTCTTCCAGCTCCGCCAAACACAGTTTTCCATTTGGCATCTTCTTTGTTCCCCCATGCAGTGCTGCTCGGCACGTGTATGTTCTAGCCTGTTCCCGTCTCAGCTGGTGCCAGCTCTTGCTTTTGTGTGGTCTCAGCTCTTTGGCTCACGTTTCATTTGCACTACTTGGCTCTTTTTTTTCTTCCTTTTACTTGGTCTGAATGATGGAGGTGCTGAGGGGGACAAAAAAGGCGCTTTCTGCTCTGCTTGTGTGCTTGGCTTCCCTTAATGAGATACCATGTGCAAAGAAAGCGTTGCCGAGATCCTGTGGATAAATGCAGCAGGGTAATCTCCATGGGTGTACATGGCAGAGTGTGCACAACTTAACTGAATTCCTTCCACCCTCTATGAGTAATGGCAAAGCTCATATTTCTTTCAGACTTAACTGCATTTTTCCCCTTCCGTTTTTTCCATGTTCCCAACAGGAACAGCAAAACTTGTACCATGGCACAAAGCTTTTTCTGTGAGACTGTGGGCTGAGGTTTGCAAGCTGCAGTGACAGCACTTGTACAACTACAAGGTAGTTAGAAATGTAAGCAAGCACTTTTCCCCTTCCAATCTCTTAATTTTTGTTCCAAATAATTGTTGAACTGTTTTCATTCAGATCTGAAAAAGTTTATCAATATAAAATTCAGTAGGAGCCATCCAGCATGGCAAATTTCCATTCTGAATTAGTAGCTTAAACTTTAAAACAAGTGAAAATACTCACAGAATCAGCAGTGCTGGGCAACTTTCTGGATGTATAGCACTGTACTTAGACTGTAGTCGTGCTAGAGTGAACTAGATAGCAACTGTACATCGACAGAATTGCTGTGAATACGAAGCATGACTTGATCCATGTGGAAACAGATTGGAGGATGCTTGTGTCCATTGTGCTATAGTATTTGAGGGGAGGAAAAAGAAATTTTCACCCTGTGAATTTTTCCCTGAACCCATTTTTGCTTTTTCCCCACCAGCTGACAATCAAATTTCTGATATAATTGTACGAAGTCAAAGGAAAGAGGACTCTGTCTTGGCTAGTAAAAATATTGCTGTTGGTTATAGTATCTAGAAGAATAAAGGGCTTGAAAAATAGCTGGTCTCCCAAAATCTGATAGCTTTCAAAATACTAAATATGCACATAAGCAATAAAAAAAGATGGCTTTTCTTTTCTGAAACACTCAAGCGTGGTTAGGTTGTGATTTTCTGGCTTAGGTTGTTATCTGAAAGCTTTGTCTGTGGCAATATTAATTTATCTTTAAAGATAAAAATACCTCTGTGAAGGAAGCATGAACAGCAGAGCATGTGGAAAACTTTTCTGCAGAGTGCTGAAAAAGTACAATAGAAAACCAGTCCAATTACTCCTTTGCCACCAGGATCTGCAGTGACTTTTCATGGCAGTCAGGTAACTTAGAGGCTTGTTAGCATCTCTTTCTTTATTGCCCTGGAAACACTTGTCATTGTTGCTTTTCTCAGAGACTGAAAATTCAGGTCAAATAGAAGCAGTTTAATATTTGAAGAGCACTGGTTTATTAAGCAGCTGACAGTGTTGTGCTTGAAGGAGAAGTGACTTGTGGTGGCTGCTTTCTGCCTCTTCAGTCCTGCCTGGTTTCAGCAAGTCTGCTGACATGGGCAGATGCTGAGGAAGGAATGGGTGTCCGGCTTCCTGGGTGAGGACCGATTGAACTTGCTCTGTGTGCGATCTGTGTATCTATTTTTCAGAGCATCTGGCATAAATTCTGTCACTTTAAGATGCTAACCCAAGTAACCCTTTCTTAACCTTGCGTGTTAAAACCTGTGAACTTCTGCTTTATTCCCCCGGGGAGGTTGATTGTTAAGTCCTCGTGGGCGTTCTGTTTAGCCATGGAGGGTCAGCCATATGGTGTTGCATCTGCTCTCACTTCTGAAAGGGAACTAATTCTTTGTGTGTTTGGTTCTTACTGGTTCTTTGGGTCTAGTTGTTACCATTTAATGCCATGGGAAAATAGAGCTTTCCATGCTGATCTCAGTTCATCTTTGATAAAGTGTTATTAGTTAGTGTTATTTTTAAGGTCTTGCTATAATTAAAGGTTTTCTTTTTTAGTGTCAGTACTGCTCTGAGAATCACAGTGTAAATACTGCTGCTGAACCATGAGGATTAAGAACAAATTCTAAAACTAGATTAGTCTTTAAAATAATGAAAAATGATCAGCCATCTTCACTGTCAAATTATTTTACCATCTTGTGTCCTTTGAAATGTAGACTAACTGAATTTCTTGGCACTAACTTCTTGCCTGTGATAAATAGCATACTTTAATACTGAACAGTAGAATTACTGCTTTATTCCTGTAAGGCCACGTGAGTGTATTATGCACAGCCATTTCTTAATGGGCTATCTCTGTAGACTTGTAATTCCTAGGATAACGTGATAATTAAATATCCCTTGCTTATCCCATTAACCTAGGGCAAACTCGGTATGCTCGAGCCAGATGAATGCAAAGCTACTCTGCTGTTCCTAGGCTCTAGCTAGTGATGCTTTTTGCTCATCTGTGCTAACATTTGTTCCAAGGAGTGCACTGTTTAATGGTGGGTCTCCTGGAGGTCTTTCCCCCCACGTAATACAGTGAACAGTCTGCAGCTCTGGATTTAAATTACCATGAAATTGCTGTGGACCTCTTGCTTTTTAAACGTAGTCTGAAACGAGAAAGTTCTATTGACATGGTTTTGAACATATTTCCAATGGATGTAGTTAAACCTGTTGAAGATGACTGTGTAGCCCCTCTTTATTTGGGATCATGACTGGTTTATTTGGTTTAGCTAGGCTAAATAGAGCTAATCAGCTTTAAAGGAAAATAAGCTGATCTCTTTATATAGAAATGGATGTCTGCAATAGCTCTTTGTGCTGGTTAACTGTATTACGTTAATAACATCTAGAAATATTAGATAATGTACTAGCAGATATTTCTAATGCTTACATTCTTCGGTTCTTCATTTTTCTCTTTGTAAGGTTAATCCCTTGTTTCCAGGTTAATCTTTCCCAGTGCTCATCTCCATCTTTCTTAAAGGTTTCTCCCCACCACTGTGCCAGCTTTCTTAGGATCTTGCTAGTTTTGCTGACTACAGCCCATCCTGCAGTGTCTCCACCTGAACTCCTGGTAGGCATGTGGAGCTCTCAGCCCTTTTTCTGGAATAACGTCATGCATTGTGTTCTTCCTAAGTTATTGAACCCAGTTGTTGTGCGCACTTGTTAGAACCCATGATGCTGAGGTGAGGGTGTGTATGTGTTTTGCTTCAGAAATAGCAAACTAACATTTCCTTTAGAAACTTGACACTGAATAAAAAACCTTGTTCTTTCTGTTGGAAAGTGTATTGGAAATGTTGTCTTATATCCTTGAACACACAACTGCAAAATGAAGCAGGTAGAGTGCAGGTAGCTCTGTAAACAAGAACAGATAAAATGCACTGGGGATGATGTGTTTGCTACAGCAATTGAGATGATGAGCGTCAAGTCCTGTGTATAACTGCAGGCTGTTGAGAATCTGCCAGAACATTTTGCTTACTCTGCAAGACTCATGTAATGGCTTGTTGGTTCTTTTCAACTGTAAGTATTTTGGTTGCGTATCATGTGAAATGGCCAAGCAGGGATTTGCCATCTTCGTTTACGTGCATTACGTATGTCTTGAATTAAAACCAGGGAAATATTAATAAAATGAAATCTGCCTTTGCTTGCATCTTTCACCATTACTGACAATGCCTTCTGGTCCCCAGGACTGACAGGGGACCAGCGAACTTACCATGGGAAGGAGAATGTGGACTCCAGGCACAATCGAGGGAGAGGAGGAGAGACAACCCGCTTTCACACTGTCAATGTGGCACAGCCTGTCCGATTTAGCAGTAAGTTGCAGACTGGGAAATCTGGGCCATCTTCCTGCTAATTAATTTACCAATTTAGGCTACTTTTTTTTTTTAAGGGGAAATTAATAGATTTTACTCTTGCATAGCTTTTTGACCAGATTTTCTTAAAATACACTGCTTTTTAAGGTTTTTGTACATTTCCTTTATATAAATATGTTGTCCATATTAGATATTGGTATACTCTGTGTATATTCTGTATATTCTATATACCATCTTAGTGATGCTGCTGTATTCTGTCCCTTCTTAGTAATGTGAACAGTAGATCTTAAATGATCCCGTATAAATGAAGGGTAAAGAAAGATACTTAATTCAGGGGCTTCAAATCTGTTTATATGTCACTATTTGATGATAAAGATCACTGTTTCTGAAGGGAATAAAAAGGCTTGAGAACAGGAACTCTGAATGCATGTAACAAACATAAAAAAGTTTGTGTATTTGAAGTTCTTAAGTGTTGTGCAAAATTAACACTGCAAATGCAGGTGCAAATATAATTTCCTGTCTTAAATTTCATGTGCCTGTCTCTGTGTTTCTCTCTGTTGGTTACCCGGCACCCCCAAGAATGCTTGTCAAAAGTCCCTGGGCCTGTTTCATCCAGAAATGTCTCAAGGCTTTTGTTGGATATTCCCTCAGTTGAGTTAACTGAAAGAAAGCAGAGACAGCAGTTCACACTGTCACCTTGTTGCTAAAGATCCAGTTTGCAGTGATGTTTTTCCGAAGCAAACAACAGTTGCCCCAGAACCCCCATTGTCTTGAATTATTGACTATGGGAGCAGGATTATGTGAATACTACTGGGACTGTCTGTAAAAGTAGGTTGACAACTTCACAGCATGTTGGATGTATTGCTAACCACCTAATAGAAAGACAGTCATTAAGTTGACCACCTCTGGTTTTTGATTCCTGCTTCTTACTGCTTGTTTTGACTTGGATTGATCGAACTGATTGGTTTTACAAAGATGTGCAGGGAAATATCTTCCACAGTAGATCATCAGTCTTAATTAAAGGCTTTAAAGGCTGCCACAGTGCAATGAAACATTACTTGGAGTTGCATCTTTTAAAATATATTCATAACGATTTTCCTGTATCAAAAGCCATAGTAAAGTATGTCTTCTATGATCTGTAATACGTGCATCTCTTCCTGGTGAGATAAAGTATATGCAGTACGTTGTGTGTACACACCCAGGTGATTATGCATTGCATTGTCATAAACTGATAAGGATGCATTATCTTGAAGGTCCTAATTTGGGGGGAATGGTTTCCCTTCTATTCTTCATGTTTCCTAGGAAAGTGCCCAACAGGATGGCACCACTATGAGGGCACAGCTAGCTGTTACAGAGTGTATTTAAATGGAGAGAATTACTGGGATGCTGTGCAGACATGTCAGCGGGTGAATGGATCCCTCGCCACCTTCACTGCAGACCAGGAGCTAAGGTTTATCCTGGCACAGGAGTGGGACTTGGAAGAAAAAACATTTGTAAGGAAGGACCAGCGTAGGTGAGTAAGAAGGAAAGGTCAGAGATCTCACATCACATGAGAATGGTTTCTGTGCAATGTGAATGCTGGTAGTTCAGTTTGCTTACAAAATCTAATGGTAAAATTGACTTCAGGTTACTACCCCGTATGAGTGTGCTGGTTGGTAGTTTGGCAGTGGCCATCTGTATTTTATGTTTAAATTAACATTCAGAGATAGGCTACAATTCAGCAGTCTTTTTATCTTCAGGCTGTCTCAGCAATGTACTAGTGTTCTTGAACTGCAACAGGGAAGACTGACTTTACAATGACTTATTGCTGCCCTGGCTCATGCAGAAGTAATTATTTAAAACTCAACAGAATTCATGCTTCCTTTAAGTCCTATGAAAGACTGCAGGTTTGAGATGAGAGTGAAGTAAAAAGCTATTTTGAATTGTAAGAATGTTGTGGCTTTAGATATTTCATACTGTTAGTTCACCACAAACAGTTCCTTTCTTTTGCCTGTGGGTTTTTTGTTACTCATGGGCTGCTGTGGCAGATCACCAGGAGTGGTTCAGTAATGCTGTATCTCTGTCTCTTCAGAGTTAGATGGCTTGATCTGGAATAGTCTTAACATTAGTTGTGTATGCTTATAAAATATTTGACTTCTGGGTGCTTTTCTGTGGTTTTTGGGTTTGAGATACTGAAATGCTACTATAAAAACAAAATAGAGTGCTTATGAGTAGAAATAAAAGACACGGTGAGCTACCATTTGTAAACAGAAAGCCGTCAAGTATTTCCCTTTATTCTTCAGCTGTATCTCTGTATATTGCTAATGTATGGGCTGAAATGCTAGGGAAAAAGTCATCAATGTTTTGAAAGTTAGCTTTGAACTATAAAGACATTGGAAGATTCTGTGTAATTTAACTTGTTAGTATGATTTTTGGCTTTTATCTTTAGAATCTCACACAATTTCTTTCAGGTTCTGGGTTGGATATCAGTATGTGATTACCAATCGAAATCACTCTCTAGAAGGTCACTGGGAAGTAGCTTATAAAGGTAGGCCTCCCCAGTTATTACTTGGTTAAATGGCCCATGGAAACAGTCTCAAATATGAATATGATTTGCAAGAACAATATAACTTCTTTCAGTGATAGTGTTGAAATAGTGAAGAGGAGCTGCTTTGCTCTACTGTATCAAAAAAATGTATTACTTAATAAGCATCTTATTTTTGAGTTTAAGAAGTTTCATAGTTTTCACATTGGTATCATTTGGAAAGAACTTGTTTTTCAGTTTATTTGGGCTTTCCCCTTCATTAAGCTGAGAAAAGGAAGCTACTCTGTAGTTCCTTGTTCTTTGTCTAGATCAATTGCTGATTCCCGATTCTAGTATTTGCACAGACTAGTGCAAGTAACATATCTCAAGGTTTTAGCTTTTTAAAAATTGGTAGTCTTTTATGTAAAAAAAGAAAATCCCAACCAAACCCAATCTTGAATTTTGGAGAATTATTCAGATTTTTTTCACTTTACAGTACTTCAGGTAGTTCATGTAAACCAAGACAAAATTTACCTAATACCAAAAATAAATCCCAGTTTATGTGAAAAGCTGAGCATTAATCTGACAGGCATCACTGAATTTGTTTAGTTGCAAAACAGGCAGCTCCCTCTGCTGAGTTATGTTTGTTATTTTTAATTAATTCAGTTGAGGGATTAGTTAGAGTTGTCATATCATAGAATCACAGAACGGTTTGGGTTGAAAGAGACCTTAAAGCTCTCTCAGTTCCAAACCCCTGCCATAGGCAGGGACACCTTCCACTAGAGCAGGTTGCCCCAAGCCCCATCCAACCTGGCCTTGAACACTGCCAGGGACAGGGCAGCCACAGCTTCTCTGGGCACCCTGTGCCAGCGCCTCAGCACCCTCACAAGAAAGATTTCTTCGCAGTATCCAGTCTAAATCTGCTCTTTATCAGTTGCTGTTATGTGTAGAATTGAATCTCTAAATGCTGTACTGGTTTAGATAATGGAAAGGGTTTTTTTTTTAAGCACTGGCACTTGAATTCCACTGTAGCATTTGAAAACTAATCTGAGTAGTTTTCTTCTCATATACAAGTTTCAGTAATGGAAAACCTGGAAGGAAAACTGGCCATTAGGTACAGATACGTAATTTTGAACAGAATTTTGCTGGACGATTGGGTCTTGAAAAATACTTCGACATATGAGAAGTAATAGAACCCTGCATGGTGCCATGCCCAAAAATACTGCTTTTATCATTAAAGTGAAGAGAGTTGACTGAATATTCAGAGGAAACTGCTGCTTCTTGTGGAGGCAGGAGCATTTCCATTAGTTCCTTAAAGCAAAGCAGCTGAAGATGTCTTTGGACAGCAGGGGTAAGGAAGGGAGGGAAGTCCAACTTTTTTCTCATAACAGGGATTTCTGGTCTGGACAGAACTGTTTATGTAGGTAGGTTTCTCCTGGGAAGCTTATATGGGGAAAAAAAAGGCATTCTCCTTTTAAAGGACCTTTCTTCGGTGTTCAGAAGGTTGACTGCACTGCCATCTGCTGACAGTGTTTTCTACCAGGGAAGCATAAATGACAGAAGAAATAGTACTTGTCTTTTATAACAAGTTTTATTTAATTTGATGCATTATATAAATTTAAGCCTTCTCAATACTATATATTGTTTTGTTTGCAAGCTTTCTATTTAATAAAGGAGTACTACATGAAATAAAGTACATAGCTGTACCTAGTAGCATTCAGTAGCTTCTGAAAAACTTTACTTAAGACTCTTAGACTCGTAGTGAGACTTTCTCTGAATTCCTGCTATCTTTGAAAAGTGGTTTAGGCTCTTCTAGCTTGGAAATTTTAATCCAGTATTGGGAGATGTGGAAGATAAGGCTTCAAAAACTGATAGCAGAACGTAATTGCATTGTAAAAAGATAAGCATCATACCTAAAAGTGTTTGAAAGGACCGTAATGTGAGAAGACTGTAATATGCTAACCGCAGGAGCTGATAAAATCGATGTTTAAGCACACAGGTTTGGAAAGTAACTTCTGAAAGCATAGGCTAATTTTGATAATTGCTGTCGTGGTCTCCCATTAATCTCTGCAACTTTGCATACCAGCAGATTTAATGGTGAAGCAAGTCACTGGTCAAAAATAACATTTAAAAAGCTGTATAATCCCCTGAACACCTCTTGCCCTGTTTGCAACCCATCACAATGGTCTCTTAAGTTACATGAGTTGGAAGGACCACATAGTCCATGCCACCACTGCAGCAGCAAAGGCAGCATTGGAGCCATGTTCTCTGCGTAGCACTGCTCTGCACTCTGACTGAGCAGCCTAAGATGTGGGGGAACAGCGCACAAGAGGTGTACACACATCTTTGGGGTGTCAGGTACGAGATGGGTACAGGTTATTATTACTCCACTAGTTGAAAGCATGGCCAAACTGTGTTGTTTGGAAGGGTGCATAACTATTGGTAGGCAAACCCCATGGGACTCTGGAAAACAGCACTTGTAGGGATATTAGGACATCACTGCTGCTGGTTCAGAATGACAGAATTACCCGGTACTTTGAAAACAGCAGCCTCTTCTCTCTGTGAGTCACCCCTTCCCTCCTCGCTTTTGCCTTCCCCCGGAGGAAGGAGGAATGTTGCTAATGGAAGCTAAAGCTAGAGGACAGTAGCCTTGTAGCAGAGTTGGTGTGCATGAAATGAGTGACATTACAGAGCCTTTCTAAAGCTTTGCATACCCACAGGCTGCTTACACTAATGCATCTCGTTCTAGGCTCTTCAGAAGTATTTTTACCCCCTGACCCTATCTTTGGTACGGCTATGTCTGAAAAGGAAAACGTTCTTTGTGCCCAGCTTCAGTGTTTCCATTTTCCTACCCTTCGGCACCATGGTTTACACAGCTGGTATGCTGAAAACTGCTACGAGAAATCTTCATTCCTTTGCAAAAGGAGTAAGTTGGTTTGAATTTAGTGTTTACTGTGTTGTCTGTTTAAATATAACAAATATGGGGACATTTATTAGTTGTCCTTTCTACCTTTTGCCCAGTGAATTAACAAGAAGAGTGTAGGAGTTAGATTTCCGCTTGGCTTAAATAAATAAGAACACTATAATGTGTGGTTGTCAGCCACAGTACAGATTGTCACTAAAAGATTACTGTTGAGCAGCTGCATCTGCCCCAAAATAAAATATACTTGGGGGGAGAAAAGGTTAGAATAGGAAAAAAAGTTAGAAAGCAAGCAAAAAGTGCCTTATTAGGAAATATCACTCTTAAATCATCACATGAAAATGAGGAATGTTTATTTCTGGTTTCATTTTGCGTATAGCAAATCCCATTAAATTCTTTTCAGCCAATGATTGGAACCAGGGGGTGAAAAAAGCAAGTGGAGCTACTGACTTAAAGTGGAAAAAATACAGCTTTCCTTCTGTATCTTGCATTTCTTTACTCCAAAAGGCCTGATACCATTTGCAGTATTTTCAGGTAGCATTTAACCTGATACTGATGGTGCTTCTTTCAAGGAGAAAGGTTGTCGAACTTCTGCTGCAGTTCTTGAAGTTTTTCTGGTTTCCTTTTTCTTTAAAGCAGTAAAAAGAATTGCAGAATGGCAAGAGAGGATAATTCAGCCCTTTATCTGCTTTTGCACCTGAAATATTGAGAAATGGGAAGACAGGATATTACCTTGTCTAACTTGAGATGTAGTAAAATCTTGGTATCTGATATTGAAAGACGTGTTTTGTCAAAATGATGATCAAAAGAGGACCTTTTTGGTCATCCCTGAAAGAGTGTTAACTCCATTAAATACTTGAAACTCACTGTGTCAATTTTGAGCAGTAAGTCATCCCTCTGTGCCTCCAGATTATCCATTATCTTCCCCACTCCTTGGAGATCTCTTTTCAAAGTTGCTTTAATGTGAAGGTGTGACTTTTAACTGATGGTTTGCTGATGTTTGCAAATCACTTAATGTAACAGAATAAACGGGACTCCTGTCTGGCAGGCTCACAGGCACTTGGATATTGATGTGCGTTTCTGTTCTAGGCCAGACTTGCGTTGATATCAAAGACAACATTGTTGATGAAGGCTACTATTTCACTCCAAAAGGGAATGATCCCTGTTTGAGCTGCACATGTCACAACGGTGAACCTGAAATGTGTGTGGCTGCTTTGTGTGAACGGCCCCAGGGGTGTCAGCAGTATCGAAAAGACCCTAAGGAATGCTGCAAATTTACATGCTTAGACCCAGGTAAGAGCTGACTGCTACAGTTTTGTCAAGAGAAATGAGTTCAGTGCTTAACTTGGTTATCTTTGGGTATAACATTGTTTGAAATGATGCATCCTTTCCATGCCTCTACATTGCTGGATACAAACTCCCTGTGGGGAAAGATATTAAATCATGGGGAATGGAACATTTCAGACCATGGTTAGAAATAATTAGTCATCCTTGATGCTACTTGTGTAGGAGAAGCAGTAGCTTATTTTCTGTATGGAAGTTGACACTACACTCAGGATTTTTAGTAGCACTTTTTGCATGGTTCCTTTATTGTGTTTAGTTGTCATGAAAAGAAAATACTTTTCTCTTGAGCACTATTCAAGCATCTTTCCCTGGACATGAGGATTTATGTGCCTGGAAGTTCGTATGCAGGATCACACAGGAAGCAGAGTTTATAAATTATATAGAGGTTCGATAATAATCCAGGTGTGCAACTTCGCATATTGGATTTGGCATCTTGGTGCAGATTCTTGTTTTGGATCAATAAAGTCTTCAGTTGACTCTGAGCTGTTCTTCAGTCTTCATTTGGGAATGTAGATTTCTTTTTGGGGAGGTGTTTTTCTGTAAAGAGACTTGTAAAAAGAAATGTATCCTACTTGGAATTTACTGTGAGAGTGGTCAAACACTGGAGCTCATTGCTTGTGGAATCTCTGTCTGGGGGGATATTTAGCGCCTGGTTGGATTCTGTCCTGGGCAAATTACTCCAGCTGATGCTGGTTGAGCGGGGTTTGGACTAGATGACCTCAGCACATCCTTTCCGACCTCAGCCATTCTGTAACACTGTTATTTCCTCGTATTTGTAAGAGAGCCTAATTTTATGTGTGTGCGCTAAGAAACTATTCTGCACCCCATATGGAAAACATGGAAAGTCAACTCACTCTTCCCATCACAGGCTTCTCTTTCAGCCTGTTGCAAAAAAAGGGGTGCTTATTGGCTTCCAAATTTGCAGTCTTTTTTATTTGTCTTAACTACAGAAGTTAATCATTAAAGGCGTTTGGCTTCTCTTTGCTGTCATTCACATTTGTTCTGAGGGTTAAGCTTTTAACAGATGTAAGTAGCTAGTGTTGGAGGTTGGTCGGTGAAGGAGTGGGGGAAAAACAGGAGTCTTCCTTCCACTCTTAGCAGCAGACTTAAGGCTTTGTCTTCACTTTTTTTTTTTATATCTTGAGGAACAGTATCAGCAAAGCATCATCCAGCAGACAGGATGAGATGACCTGGGATAACCTTGTGCTGTGTTCTTTAATCCTTGCTTATTGCTGTAAGTCTTAACTATTTCATGAATACTGATTTGAAGAGTGTATTTCACCACATCCTTCCTGATCCTTAAGCTCTTCTTTCTATACTCTTGCTAAATAAGAGACTTTCATTATACTCTTGCCTGAGCTGAAGAATCATCAAGCAGTTGTCAAACTTCCTTCATAATGAAGTTACTTCAGCTAGCGATAAACACTGAAATTTTTAAATGAAGCATTTCGGTTTTCCTTCTGGGTGTTTATAAATGGCTGTTCCAGATGACAGAATTAATGAATTACTTTCTTTAATCAGCATGTATTTATCTTTGTCCAGCTTTTACATATATCTTCCCTAAGCTCTGTTGCAAAGGAAAGAGAACAGTTTACTAATCAACAGTAAGTAAATTAATCACCCAAGGAGAGACTGGGGGATAATAAATCCTGCTGTTGGGTTGGCAGGTAATCAGTTCTCACAGTGTGAGTGGGTGAGCAATGATTACAAGTAGATAGCAAATATTGCTTAAGGATTGATAGTAGGGAAATTTTCCAGTGGTAGGAGTAAGCTGAGCAATCACAGCTATCCTCCCTGGAAAGATGCTTCTCATCATTTATTTGAAGACAAATAGCAGGGGAAAATCTTTCCTGCTGCTCCAGGGATGTGGTAGAAAACATTTTTTCTGTGTGGCTCTTGTTTAGGCAGACCTGCAACTCCTATTTGTGAAAAGATAATCAAATATATAAAACACTTTGAAAAGAGGTGATAGTGCAGAAACTTTTCTAGTGCCTCAGCTAATGCCGTTACAGGGTATTATGACTGTATTGGGTGTACAACAGCCTTTCTGAAACAATCTATTTGTGTTTATGTGGGTTGGAAATCTTTTTGATGACTTCTCTTGTGTACAAGCTGAGTCTTTACCTTGTTTTAATCTAATTTGACCTGACAGTAGTTTATCCAGGTTGAACATTAGGAGCTTTCACGGTGTAATGGAGTGTGATAGAGGTCCAAGATGCCTCAGAAGGTCCATGAATTGCAGTTGTAGCTGGCCTAAGGAGAATATGTGGAAACCAAGACTTTCTGCCTACAACATTGCCTGTGTGTATGTTTTACTTAATTCACTTTATTTAAGGCAGCTAATAGCACTAATTTATGATGTTCATGAAGTTAGTGTTGCCCTATAATGGAGGAGCAACAACAGCAGGTCTGTGTGTTCAGGAGGGTGTGTTGGTTGGTAGGTGTGTGACTGCATTGGTTTAAGCTCTGACAGTAATGAGTTGCTAAAAGGTTTGACAGCACAGAGGCTTTTGTACTGCGCAGCCAGATTTGAGAGGGTGTAATGTTTGAGCTCTGTGTGCTATTAAGTGAATTTCTTGTTGCCAAGAATGCTTCCCATAATAAATACCAGCCTATTAGCAGTGTACTTTAACAATGTATAAATTTGGTGAATTTTTCTGTTACTAGCATTTGTAGCAAGTCAGTGCTTCATCTGCTTCTTATCCACACCGAACCTGGATGTGTTTCTCCTTCAGAGCTCTGTAGTGGGGAAACTGGTGCGAAGAACACAGCACAGTCATTTTTAGGTCATTTTTCTTTGTGTAGAGTATCTCTATGTGTACATGCTACTTAATCATAACCAAGTCTGATCAGTCGAATTGTGAAAAATGAATACCTTTCGTGTCTGTCCCTGGTAGAACAGGAATAATTTGCTCACACCAGCCTTCAAATGTGGATCTGGTTAGCAATGGTGTAGAGCTCTCGGAAGTTCTGAGCTCCTGGGTCTGTTTCATATTCTGCCACTTGCTTTCTGTGTGATCTAGGACAAAATTTATTCCTGTTGACCTTAATCTCTTCTGATTCTGAAAGATGATTGTCATGTTGATTCACCTTTTTAAGGTATTTTTAGGTCCTGTCATTTAATGGTGCTAACCAGTATACCAATGACATGGTGACCACGTCTTGGCAATGACACTATTTAGAGATTTTTGTTGTTGGAAATGTTAAGATGTCTGGAAGTCATTTAGAAATAGTGGGCAGATAACACCAGTTCTCAGGCCTTTCCCATAGCTTCCAGGCTTGATGTTTCCTTTAGTATAACATCATCAGCTATGTCAGGGAGACAAATGCATGTGCAAAACGCCACTAACCTTTCCTTTTCCCCATTTCCAGAGACCTGAAGCCTTCAACAGTTTGTCCCTTTTGCCAAGATATTTTCAGAAACCTTTAGATCTTCTTGCAATAAATAGATCAATCACCTGATGATTCATAATTTTCTTCCATTTTTGAAAAGTGTTAAACCAGCCTAATGAATCTCCACTCTACATTTCTCTCTCCATCACTGACAGAAGAACATCAAGAAAAATGAGTCCTGAACAGAAGTATAACAGGCTTCTTGTATGTGTTTTCTGTAACAGATGGCAACAGTTTGTTCGACTCAATGGCTGGTGGAATGCGTCTGATTGTTAGCTGCATTTCCTCCTTCCTCATCCTCTCTCTGCTGCTTTTCATGGTCCACCGGCTACGCCAGAGGCGGAGAGAGCGCATAGAGTCTTTGATTGGAGCAAATTGTAAGTAGCCTCTATCTGTAATAAGTCCTGACTGAAGCAGTGTATGTGCCTCCGCATAAAGGGAGCAGAAGGAAAGAAATAAAAGTCTGTGTAAAACATCAGGGAAAATCTGGTAGTAGATTCTAGTCAGTGTTGTACCCAGATGTAGGTCTGTGATGGCTGCCTGGGCTGGTCATGATTTGTGCAAATTTTGGTTCTCTGAACCACTGCACGTTCCAAGAAAAAAGGTGTATCAACACTTGTCTTGTGCCTCACACTTATTACTGACGGATTGACACACATAAAGGTGAGAAATGTTGCGATCTTGCTTGACTGTGCCTCTATGCGTGTGTCTTGGTAAGTTGGTCAAACTTGAACTCCAGAATATAATGGAAAAGTATTTTTTATGTGATCCAAATGTGAACTGTCTTTTATGTGTCACCTTAGTTTGGAGAGGTTAGGTTAAAGTTCTGATGTAATGCAGGACAAACAGGCTGGGTTCAGGTGGGCCTGGGTATCATTGTGTAACCAGCAGGGAGTTGACTTGTATAGAGCATGTAGACTTTTTTAGGTCTTCAGGAGACATGAGTGTCTTGGTTATAAAAAGTGGAAAAAGGTGTTGAAATCTGCCTTAAACTGAAGAAGAAAGCATGGGATAAAGCCACTTACTACTGTTTCTTCTCTTGAAATAGTGCACCATTTTAACTTGGGCCGCAGGATGCCTGGTTTTGACTATGGTCCTGATGGTTTTGGAACTGGCCTTACTCCACTGCATCTTTCAGATGATGGGGAAGGTGGGGCATTTCATTTCCATGATCCACCTCCACCCTACACTGCTTACAAGTATCCAGATATTCAACATCCAGATGACCCACCTCCTCCATACGAGGCTTCTGTCAATCCAGACAGCATCCTTTGTTCCGCTCCAGGTATGCAGGCAGTAGCTTCTCTTTTGTATCTCTTTTTCATTTTGGCTAGAGGGTAGGTTTTATTTATTTATTTATTAGCTATAATCATGTGGTTTAATGATTGTGATGAGAAAATATATTTAATGGTAAAATCTGTTAATGCAATGGGAAAGTCTTTTGTTAAAAAATTATTATTAAGCTTGTTTTTTCTCAAAGGTTCTTTGGAACACCTAAATTCAAATAGAATCCTTGCTACAAATAGCTTAACTGTTAGACCTTACCTATTTTCAAGCCGTACCTTGGATGGGTTACCTGGTTACCTAGTTTCCCTTATTCTGGTACCTTTTCTGGTCTTCTGGAAACAGGTCTACAGAGATTGCTATTAAAAAGTAGACAAAATGTCAAGTACAAGAGATGTTGAATAAAATCTATCCGGCGTCTTGTCTCTTCCCCACTTCCCCCACCCACACCCCCCAAAAATTGACCAAAAATACCACTTTCTAATGATTCACCCAGCACTCTTCAGTTTTGCAGCTGTGCTAGTCACATACTGTAGAAACCATTCCAATTTGGGATTTTTATAGCAGCATATCTCACAAGATAAGTGAGCCTGATTAGTGCAAATATCTTATTTATATATCAAAGTTTTATTTTTGCTACACAGTTTTCCTCTTTTGCAGTGTCATCTCTTTGTGCATTAACGTGAAACTGGGAAAAACTCAGAGCTTCTAGAAATACAGATAGTAAACCTATTTGGGAATGTGAAATGGTATACCTCACTTTCTGATTCTGCTTGGTTTTTGTCTTTTGCAGATGGAGTTCTTTCTCAGACTGTGCAAAGCAGTCCTCCATCACTAGGAAACTGTGATGCATCCCCACAGCTTACAGAGGGATCGCTTCCTCCCTCAGTTGGTCCTTCTCCAGTGGAGCTGGAAGACTCTGCTGACAGCAGCACCTTTCTTGTCCCTCCTGACACAGTGCTAAGTGAAAACACTCCGGCAGAAACTCTTACAGGCAGCCGTCACAGCCACTGTTCTCTCAATACCATTGTATAGAGGAGAAAAAAGCTGATCACCGGTCAGAGAGAGTTTTAGCAACTGTTTGCACAGACAAACACTAATCCGTGGTTTGAACTTCAGAAGGAATCTCCACTTTGTTTTTTGAACACTGCTTTTATGTTCTAGTTTAGGATTGTGCCTCTCGTTTTTTGGCTGTCGTTATTCATTCACTAATCAGTTTGTTCTGTAAATATGGATTGTATAACTGCTCTTTTTCTTCCATTGGCTATGGAAAAGAGTGCAGAGAATTCCTTTCACTTCTAAGGAGGTGAAAAATATGGGTAGGGGTTTTATTTTGTTGGGGTTTTTTTCTTAACGTGAGAGGAAACAAAATCTACATCAGAAAAAAGCTGCTTGGATTTGGCTGGATACCACTGGACCCAGGAAACAGGCAGTGGAAAAGGCGGGTGGGGGCAGTCACTGCTCAGTCAATTGCTTTCTCTCTTGCTTCAGTGCTATACTTGGAAAAGGCAGAGAAGACGGAACTGCAAGGGAAGGGGCTGGGGCTTGTTTTACAAAGCGGGAACACTGAGGAGCTAAAACACATACCACCAAGTACGAGTTACACAGTATAACACATTTGCGTGTTTTGATCTGCCTTGCTGTCTCAGAACACCATAGGGACTGCAGGATGAATGATCTACACAATATGTGACAAGTGGGTACTAAGAAAACTAGGATTTGCAATCACAATTATTTGTTGTTGGTAGCTGCAAAATCTGATGTTGTTGGGTAAACTTCTGGACCATAAACAAAACTGGGTCTGTGTAATGCTTGTGTCCCTTCAGTAGAATCCTCATACATATTAGGCAGTACTTTAGGGAAGAGATGGGGAGCACTTAATTTTGGTGCAGTTGGACTTTACTGTATGAAGCCCCTGTTTGCTATAACCCTGTAAGGAAGAGTGAGGTGTTTTTATTTGTAGTTTAACTCCTGAACAGTTGCACAAGACTGGGCTGGCTAAAAGGCCATTGTTTTTGCTTTTCTTATTGCATGCTATGTTTAGCATGTGTGTTCCCTCCATTTCACTTCTTTACAGTTCTACAAATAGCATTGAAAAGCAGTGGTCAACATGCGCTATACATGATGTTTAATTCTAATTGGACATGTGTTCCTTATCAGGGCCCCATAAATTGCCAACCCTCTTGTAGGGATTTCCCATGTGTCCCCCAGACCATTTATCCAGGTCCCACAAGGGATTATCACGAGGTTAGTGCACTTAAATGATTTTAAAAAGCAGTTTGCTTCAGTCAGATATGTCATCTTAAATTTCCCCTTCGATCGAACTCTTTAATTTACAGATGGCAAAATGATTCATTCACTCCCTCACTAAACCCAAAATCAAGCACTGTTGGTTTTGATAATGAATGCAAAATAATCTTTACAGGTGGTTTTACGTTTAAATTTGGACTTCAGTGCACAAATAATTTATCCTTTCCCCCCATCCTCCTCTTGCCTCTGCTTCTTGACTTACTGTAACAGTCAGCAGATGAGATGCATTGTAAGGAATTTGTGAGAATGCCCCTGTGAGTGTTCGTCTGTTACCTTATGAAGGGCACAAGCCTAGAGGGACAGGAAGAAAACACTGCATGGGGGTGTGTGTGATCTATTTTTCTAGTAATGATGAGAAATCATACTTGTATGACAAATCCTAACCCACTGTTTTGGTTTCCCAGTGCAGATGACTCTTTCCCCATTGAATATGCTGCTACTTTCTATTCTGTTTCTTGCCTATAGGCTAATACTGTACGTGGGGATTGGTCTTGACAATTCAACTCCTTTTGCACAGAAGACTGAGTTATTGAGTTCATATCTTGATGTCTTGACATTCAGACACTTGCTAATGGTCTTGAATCCATCAGAGAGTGTGAATCACAGTTCTGGGGTGCACTGCTGGCACTCGAGTGGGAGGAAGCACTGTTAGGAAGCCTCATCCGCCTGGAGCCGTACCACTGCCCGCGTTTTGACTGGCTCTAACAGCAGTGGTATGAAATGAGAGGAGCAGTTATCCACCCTGTGGGATCTCTTACTGTCTCCTCTTCCGAGTCCAAGTCCTGGTCTAATGAAGTGGATGGATAGCAGTAGTCAGAACCATGCACACAAATCGCTGATCATTTCTGAAGTATGAAAATAAAGCGGGTTTTGTGCGTTTTTGAGCACAATCATACTTTTTATACATTGTATGTACTGATTTTTCCTTAGTTTTATAGGTACGAATGCGTGTGTGTGTGTGTTTCTGGGTGGTGATATATCTATATCTATACATACTGTAGATCGTAACCTTTGTGCTGCGTCCAGCTAGGTGAAGCTAAGCACTGGGATATAAACTAGGCTCTTAGGGTTAATACTTCTCTCAAGCTGGCTGCACTCTGTTGTAGGACAGGCTGTGATAGTGTACACTTAAGTAGGATGCCAAGTCTGTGCTACTACAATCTGTTCCTGAAAAATACTTTTGTTAGCAGTGGGAAACAGAAAACTTTCCGTTTCTTTTGAAGCCAGATGGAATATATTTGTTCTTTGTAGTATCCTAGCGCAATAACGAAAGGCCTTGTGCCTTGGTTTAGTGTCTGAAGCTGTGTTTTGTGGCTGAGGTGAACAGATACCTTACCTCACACTCCTCCTAACACTGCAGGAATCTGTTCGATGTTTTTCTGTTTTACTTTTGATTCTGTGATGAATTTTATTTGAAAATAAGCTCTGTTACAACTGGCAACTTGACGGTGGCTCCTGGTTGTAGCTATTCCAAATGGAGGCTTCTTTGTAGAAGCCTTGGTGTGATATTTTCCCCATTGCTTCTGAGCCTTTCCCACTTGTATGTTGGCACGGAGGCTGCTATTGTTTGTCTTTTCCCCTATTCTCTTTCATCTTAACTGTAATCAAGGGAAATTTTGCCTTGAACAGAGCAGCTCACTAAGTAAAGCTCATTTACCTCGGTGAGCTTCTAATTTGGCAATAAAATTGGTTTGGTTTGGTTTTTTGTCCCATTTTAATTTAGCTTTTTCACACTGGGTGTTTTCTCTTGGAGTAAGAGCTTTTGTAGCAGAAAACATCGCAACTACTCAGACTTCTGGACCAACTGGGGAAGAGAAGTTTTCTTGACAGCAGTTGACTCCTCAGCAGACCTTCCTTGCCCTGGGTAAGCAGTTTGTCCTGGGCACCAATTAGAGGACTGATGCTTGCCAAAGGAGGACCTTCCCGTTTTGCTTGCCCTATTAGATGAGATCTTTGGGAGTTATTCTGTGCATTGGTGTTTTTTTTCCCCACCACTGATCACTTTCTCTGGATGTTTCTTCTTAACTACTGATGCATCGCAGATGTCCCTCGGGAACCAGCGGGGGAGATGGCATTACCACGTCATTCCCAGCAGCACGTGTGAGCAGAAAGGGCATTTTCCATGGGATATGCTCAGCTGTGGTTGTGTTAAGCCACAGTTCTCAGTTCTGCGCAGGGCTCGCACCTCCCGTTGTGGCCTTGGACAAAACTGCTCTTCACATTCCCCATCCTTACGATGTACTGTGGTGCCATATTGAGATCTCTGCTGTTCCAGCAAGAGCAGCCCTAGATATTCACTTCTGTCCGTGTTCTCAGTGATACCTGTTACACAGTCTCACAGCAGCCTCTAATTTTTTTACTAGATGAGTTGTAGACTATTGTAATGTTATAGAAGGACGGTGGGTTTCATTCTGTGCTAGAAAATCAAAGCTGTCATTCAGATGTACAAAGAACTTGTTTGCATAATGTTCAGTCTTGCCTAGTTTTGAGCCTCAGACTATTCCTGTGCCCGTTCATGGCAGGTCAGTGATCTAGAAGAAGAGTGAAGTAGGTGGGAAATGTTTTTCTGAAGGCTTAACCTCTCAGTGAGCAGGTTCTGCTTCCACAGATATCATGGTGATGGCCTGTCCACATGTACCTCAAGATTCACTTAGGAAGAAAATGTTGTTGTGACCAGTAGTTATTACTGTTCTTTTCCCATCTAATAATGTTAAATGAATTTGAAGCTGGTTTTACAGATGCTTTTCTCTTTCAAATGTGGCTTTTCGGTGGCAAAGCACTGGCGTTTTAATGTTGCCTCATACAACCTGTAATGTGCATCTCTTCTCTTTTCAGTTGCTGAAATGTCTTTGTTCTCCCTGGCTAAGGAACATGCAATGTACAGAAATTGCTTTTAAATTTCCCTTGCATGGGAAATCTTAATTTAAAGAATTAAATGGGAGCTGGACCCTAAAATTGGAGCAGATGAGTGTAGAGGAGATGAATCAAAGTTTGCTTCTGGTGTTCCCCGGTTCCAAATAAAATGGGGGTTTCTTTTTGGAATAGATGCTTTTAGTGGTGGCCAAGATGTGTTGGAATTAGATGATCTTTAAGGTCCCTTCTGCCCCAAACCATTCTGTGATTTCCCTAACAACATCCTGCATTACCTGCCTGCTACGGTACGACATAGCTTTAATTTGCCGGTATTGTGCACCTTGAACGTGGAGCGGGTTGGAGCCGATGCCAGCGGAGATGCTGTGCCTGCAGGCTGCATGTGTGGCCGTGCACGGGCTGGAGGATGCCTGGGAGGCTGTGAGAGAGTGAGACACTGCTTTTTACCTTCTCCTGGAAAACAATGCTAGCCAACACTGCATTCGCAGGCTTTTCCTGTGTAGTTGGTTTGTGACTGGACTTAACTGTGGCAGTGTATAAAAGATTTTGATATTCTGTGAAATACCATGTAGGATTTAAATTTGATACTATAATAATTCAGTCCCTGTGACACTGGTTTTTGTTTTGACTTCTTTCCTTGGGGTTGGCACTAATTATTTTTTTCTTCTCAAGATGCTGTGAGAAACATTTCATCCAAATGCCAAATAAATTGTGTTCTGTAAGAGAAATGGCCTGTGCCAAAGCCTCCTGATTTCTGCATCACTGTGGTTCCTCAGCGTTGGGAAGGAAGGTCTTGTTAAATCCCACTTCTGAGCTGTGATCTTGCAACAAGACCAGTGGATGCATTTAACTTCAAGGAGGGAGGCTGCTGAAGTTTTGTGTACAGATTCCAGTGGAATTTAATTGTAGGAAGGTCTTGGGGCTGTGCTGAGGAAGGTGAAATGCAGCCCATGCCTGCTGGGCTCCCCAACCCTGTGGGAAGGTGCTGAGCAGGAGGCTCAGGTGGCTGTGCTGGATGGGAGAGGGGGTTCTGCATCCCCAGCTTCTGGTACAGGGCAGGAGGGCTCTGGGAATGAACTGGGTCAGTCGCTGATCCTCCTGGGGGGATGATGTGAAATGAGGGGGACAGTGTTAGCACTGAGTGGTGCAGTTTCTGTGCCCAGCACGCACTGGTGAGGCTGGTGGAAAAGCCTGGTGAGAGGTTGGGCTGTCCTGACCCTCTTCAGCTCCGAACTTCTCACCCAAACCCTTCTGTTAGAAGTTGGTATCGCCACCCTTCGCTTGCCTGTGCATTACAGCCCCTCATGGTAAGGGGGCTGGAGGGAGGGCTCTGTGGTCTTCTTGTGGTGGGCTGCATGTTCCGGGGTTGCAAAGGTTTCCCGTCCCTGCCGGGACCCGTTGTGTCCTGCGGGAGATGCACAGCAGATGGCGTTTGTGCTCAAACCAGCCCCAAAATGCATTACATGGCAGGCGGCTGCAATTCCCTGTGGAGCTGGGGGGGGACACGAGCAGGGAGAGGCAGCTCTCGGCCCCCTCGGCCTGCAGTGTGCTGGGGGTGATGCTGCCTCCCCTGAAAGAGCCTGTAGTCAAATTGTTGAGCAAAGCCGGCTGCTAACAGGGAATATTTCACCCAAGGAGCTTGTTGGATAAACAAGCCCTTTGAAATAGTGGTGCTGGTTTAGTAATGCAGGTTTGCAGCAGGAGCTGGCAGGTTGGTGGGGTACGGGATGGAGCAATACCAAGTCAGGGTCAGTGGCATCTGTCCTGTTCTGGCGAGGTGTTCTCAGCATCGCTGCCCTATGCTGCTGTGGAAGTTCCTTGTCCTGCAGTGAGTGTGTGCTCACAGCAGCACGACTGAAGGCTCCAGAGGGTGGTGTGCTCAGAGGACATGCCCTTCCAGAGTGGGGAAAGCCGAGAGTGCCTGCCTGCACTGCCTCTCTTCTGGAGCGGTCCAGGCAGTGAGTGCGGTGCCACAGAGCCTTTGTGTCCTGACCCCATCCCGGGGAGGGCTCTGCGGATGGCCTGCAGCACCACTGCTGCGGTCAGGATTGCCAGAGCCATGCAGAGTCAAGCCCACCTTACCTGGGGGAAGTAGGTAAGGAACTAAAACCTTGCCTGCTGCAAGCAGGGCTGGCTTTGGGCACAGGGAAAGAGCAGCCGCTCTGTTCTGCATGGTCCAGACCTGGCCCCGGTGCTGCCTGCCTGCCCCTGCTCCAGGCTGGGAGCTCCGCTCTGCTCTGCTCGCTGCTGGTTTAAGGGCTGCTGGGCTCGCAGTGTTTGCTGTGGGTCCCCGCGGCACTACCGGGCTGTCCCCGTGGCCGCAGGATGTGTTCATTGCGAGCACCGGCCCGCGTGCAGTGTCACTGTCACCGCTGGTGCGGGCGGCTCTGCTCTCCCGTGCCCGCAGAGGGCAGCCTCCATCACTGATGGACCTGAACCAGCTCCCGGAGCTTCATCTCTGCTCTGGGCTCACACTGGCTCAGCTGAGGGCGATGGGACGCGGCCCTTCTTCTGCTGTTGGTCTCGGGGGACACAAACGTCTTCCTATAGCAACTGCCTGACGTTGGGAGTGCTTGGAGGGCTTAGTCTAGCAGGGACCTTGTGCAGACAGAACTTGTCCTTCTCTCCTGCCCTCTTCCTGCCTGGGGACAGGGCTGATGCTGCAGGGAGCAGCCAAAGGTGCCTGGAGCACAGCTCCCCACCGCTCCCCTGGGACACACGTCTCATGTTGGCACTTGGATGCTGTGGCAGGGGCATTGCTGGGCACTCTTCTGCTGTCAGCTCCTACCAACTTCAAGGTGTTTCCCTGCGGGGTAGTCAGCAGCTGTGCTCAGTGCCGTGGGTCTGGGTGCCCAGCCCTGGAGCATGCCAGCGACTTGGGGGTGCGGTTTGGGTGCATGTAAGTGCCACACGCTGGCAGTGACCCTGGGGGGTGCCAGCCTGCGGGGAGGGAGATGTCACATAGGGAACATGGGATGAATGGAGGGGCTGTGCAGCGGCCTGTGGCCAGTGCGCATCTGGTGGCCACAGAGCCTCCTTTGTGCCAGCTCCTGCTGTGCTCCCTGCCCTGCTCCCTGCTTCCTGCCTGGGCTAGCAGTGGGTTCTTATGGAGATCAGTTCCACATGGAAAATTGGGAGCTGCTGGGCATCTACTGCCTGTAAGCTTCTCCTCACTGCACTTTCTCCTCTGGATGCCCACATCCCTTGGTGCACCCATCCCTGGGTGATGTGAGCTGTGCTGAAGTCTTGTCCCTGTTGCCACCAGCACAGGATTTACCTCCAGGAGCTGTGGTGGGGGTTCCCAGCAGGGTGGCCCCGTGCCCACAACTGATCGACGGCTGCAGCCTCAGCGACTGTCTTTATTTTTCAGTGGCATTTTTCCCCCTCTCCCGGCTCCTGCCCTTGGTGCTGTGACTGCAGGTGTCTGTGCCAGCAGGACGATGGACGTGGTCTCTCCGTGTGAGGACAGTGCAGAGCTGCAGGATGGGCTGTGAGCTCCCCACCACCACCGTCAAGTACAGAGCGGCTCTTTCAAGGTTTGATCTGGTTCCTATAGAAACTGGAGGTTGCTCCTGCCTGGTGCTGGTGCCAGCAGCCAGTGGTACCTCTGGGGAGCGGGGACAGCAGGGAGCAGGGTACGGCACAAGCAGAGTGCTGCTGCTGCTGCCTTTCTATGTGTATTGTGTCCCCCTCTGCTTCCTCACTCTGCTCCTGCCCTTCAGGAAGGCCGTGCTGAGCCCCACCAAGGCTCAACATACCCTCCAGCCATGGAGGGCTCTCCAGACCCCATGGGACCCTGCAATAGATGTGCTGGTTGCCCTCTGTGGGACAAGGGACTTGTTGCCATTGCATGCTGTGGCACAGTGCTGTGGCTGTGCGTCACTGCGGTGACACCTCTGGTCTTGCCAAAGGTCACCACTGGAGGAGTCTGGAAACCTGAGAGAATGTCCTGGGGGCACCTGGTTGATGCCCCGGGGGGGAACAGCCCCGGGCTGCGGGGTCCCATCAGCACCAGAGCCTCGAGGGTCTGGGCTGCTCTTCCACTGCCTGGCACTGTGGGCTGGTAGGTGGCAGAGGTGCTGGTGCCGTTTGTCGCCCCTGGTGCTGGAGCAGCTCCTCTCCCTCCTGGCAGCAATGGGCAGCAGGCTGTGGACCTGGTGCACCCTCCGCCTCGCCTGCCCGCCTTTGCGGCTGCTCCGGAAGGATGACCGCAGCCCTCTGCAAATACCTCATCCCTGGAGCAGGGGCCAAGCTTCAGCCATGGCTCGGATCCAGAGCAGCTCGGGGGAGCTCTGCCCTGTGCCCCCCTTTGCACCCTTTGCAGGTGCCCAAACACACAGCTTCGTGCTGCCCAGGCGCCTGGGGCTGGTTCTGCCCTGGGGGGAAAAGAGGACCCAAAGAGCCAAGGATGAGCACCCTGAGTGCGTTGTCCCCTTGTAGCTTATAGCAGCCAAGCAGCTCTGCTGAGCCAGAGCATCCCTGGCCAAGCCAGCAGCAGGAGGCTCTTCCCACTGCCCTTGTGCTGCTGCCGGGTTTGCTCATCCTGGCAGCGAGTCGGCGGCACTGCTGCCAGCGACAAGTGCCGGTGAGAGGAGCTGCGGGATGGGCCTTGTGGCTTCCCCTGTGCCTGAAGATGGTGGGGAGGTCCTGGGGGAATGCGACAACTCCGTGCTCCTGTTTCCATCCCCTTCCTACTGCCCGCTGACAAGATACTGGCTCCCATGGGACCTGTCTGGATGGGTGCAATGGGGATGGCATGAGCTGCTTCCATGCTGGGGAGCTTGACCACGGGATCCCTGCCCCAGGCTCTTGTGATGCCCAGGTGGGTACCAGGGCTTGTGTTATGGTGTGGCCTCATGCTGGCTGGAGGGAGGGGAAAGGGTTGAATCTTGCCCCACCAGTGTGTTGCTCCTTGGTGATGCCGATGGCTGAGGGTCCCCATAGTGTGGTTGCAGACACCACCCAGTCCCGAGGATGGGGCACTGTGGGTGCCCACTGGGCTCTGCCCATTGAGTGGCCTCTGTTTGCAGGGATAAGCTGGATGTGGCCTGTGGGTCCCCATGCCATTGCCTGCCCCATATCAGGCTCCTGATGAGAGCTACCATTCTCTGGGCATGGGGAATGGAGGGCCCACTGCTGGCTGTGGCGTTGGATGCTGTCCCATGGCATGTGCCTGCAAACAGTGGGGAGATGATGGGGCAGAGCTGGTGCCCCAGCCCGTTCTGGCTACTGACAGCCCCTCTGAAGCCCACATGTGTCCCCACAGCACTGTGCAGGGAGCGGGATGGGGCACAGTGGGGATGCTGCCGAGCCCCTGCTTTGGGGATGGGGAGCAGGATGGTACCAAGGGCCGCCCCTCGGAGGGGAGTGGGCTCCTCCAGCCCCCTGCTCCCTGCCTTGCCCCTGCCTCCTGCCCTTGTGCTGGCATCCCTGGCAGGGGCCTGGCACGGCGCGGCGGGGCTGGCTGGGGGCCGGGCCGCTCCCCCGCTCCCCGCTAGCAGCCGAGGAGTTAAAAACTCAGCCCTTGTGATGAATATTTAACAGCAGAGCACAGGCTGGAGCCGAGGATTCCTCCGGGCTGGCTGGGCGCTGGCAGCGCTGCCTGCCCGGGCGCACTGCGCAGGAGGAGGAGGAGGAGGACGGGGCGCTGGGGTCCCCGCTGCCGTTGCCATGGGCACGCAGGGGCTGGGAATAACTTTTCTGACTTTGCCTCTCGTCGTGCAAGCAGCCGCGGGAGGTGAGATGGGATGGGATGGGATGAGGTGGGATGAGATGAGATGGGATGCGCTGCCTCGCTCCTGCCGCGCCTGGGGTAGCTGAGGGGATGGTGGGTCCCATGGCAGGAGATGATGGGGGTCCTGGGCTGCGGGGCTGGGGTGAGCCTGTGCTGACCCATTTATTCCTTTCCCTTTGCCGTGTTCCGGGGGGCTGGGTGCTGGGGGACCTGGTCTGGCCCAGGAGTTCTCTCCTGGCCTCCCAGCACCCTTCTCCCCACTGGTGCATGTCCCCACTGTGCTGCTGCGCTCGGGAGGTCTCAGCCCAACCAGGGCTACCTGTCCTGATAGGGATGTCTGGGCCGGGTTCCCGTTGGAGCATTAGGGTGTTGGGCTTCAGCTTGCCCACCCCACAGACCTGCATCACCAGTGAGGATGAAACCTCAGAGCTGCTTCCCCGGGGCCGAGGCGCTGGGTGCTCACCTGCATCTGGGCCAGGCTCCTTTGGTTGCTGCCAGAGGATGCTCGAGGTCAGGCAAGGGCTGGTGGGTGGGGATCTGAGCACCTCAAAGGAGTTCGGAGGAGAGCTCGAGGTCCCTGCCCTGGGGACCCTCTGAGTCCTGCTCCGTCCCGCTCCCAGGATGTGTTGCTGCAGGCTGGCACCACGGGCAGCATAGGTTGAGGCAGGCAGGGCTACTTTCATCCTGCTGGTCCGAGCAGTCGCGGCTGGCATGGAAGCATAGCTCACCATAGCTGGCATGGCCCCATGGTGTCCGGGGGGACCGCTTATGTAGGCTGGCCCTGGGCAGCACTGGGTTGCTCTGTGCCTCCTCCAGGAGCAGGACAGGGAGCTGAGGAGGGAAGGGCCGCGCTCCCTGGTTCCCGTTGCAGAGGTGATGGCTCTGGGGGGCTGTGCAGACAGCAGGAGCAGGGTTCTGCCTTCCCTGGCATCCTCGGCATCCCCGTGTCTGCTGTGCTGGCACCCGGCATCAGGTGCACGGCTCCTGTAGCTGCTCTGAGTGCGGGCACCGCACTGGTGGGAGTGGAGCAGCTCCGGCCCTGAGCGATGGGGTGAGCTTTAAGTCCCCGCAGCGTGGGCACGGGCCTCTCCAGCAGCCCCCAGCAGCCGCCTTCTGCTGCCAGCCCACCCCTGGGAGCCGCAGGGCTAGCGGTGGGGGCTGCGGCAGCACCTTCAGCTCCCCGCTCGCCCAGGGAAGGTGATGTGTGTGGTGAGGGGCTGCCTGGGCTCCCCACGGTGCGCAAGGGGGGATGCTCCCACAGCAGCTGGGGATGGAGCCCCGTGAGCAGTGAGGTTTGGCTGCCACAGAGTGGAGAGATGCTGAGGGAGGTTTCCCTGTGGAGCGGCTGGGGGAGGCAGGGAAGGTGTGAAAGCACCAGTGCTAAGAATAACCGGGATGAACACAAGTGCTGGCGGGACCCCTGGCTGTGATGGGGGTGCTCTCACCATGGGGGGGCTGGGCACGGCTGTGGGTGGGTTTGGGGAGTGGGTCCAGTCTCCATCACTTGCACTGAGCTCTCCTCTCTCCGCAGGGCAGTGGTGCTATGACTCACAGGACCCCCAATGCGGTGAGTGGTGCCATGTGCAGGATGGGGGTGTCGGGGCTGCGTGGGATTTAGACCCCTACATCTCCCCACAGTGCCTGGCCGAGGGCACTCTGGGCAGCATCAGTGTGGCTGCAGGGGGGAGCATGGCTCGGAAAAGGGGAGATTCAGCCGTATTACACCCATAGAGGGGCTATGCTTCCAGGTGTGCTGATATAGAGACTGGGGACAAGTGCTCAAGCCCATTCCACCCAGCTCTGGGTGCTCCCAGGGCAGCACCAGCCTCCCCCCTTCCACCTGGAGCAAGTTAAATGACACATGTAAAACATGCCATTAGCAACCCCATCAAGGCATTGAGGGGGCTGTGGGGCACGGGATAGCTCTGTTTTGGCAGGCAGCAAGTAGGGGAAGGGAAGCATGGCTGGGGGCACTTTGTCTGGAAGCAGGCAAATAGCTTGTAAAAGGTTAATTAAAGATCAACGAGCATTTAATCAGCTGTTACGGCCCAGCTGGTTTATAGCTCTTGGGTTTACACGCCTTGTGCCCAGCGGTCCATGCTCACCGGCCATGGCCAATGTGCCATGGCAGCTGGGCTCCGCTTATCCCAGCCGGAGCAGCGCTCCATGCTACCAGCAATCCATCCTCCCCGGGGGGTGGCTGAGCAGGGCTCTGGGAATCGGTGCCTTAATGAAGGCACCAGGCGCTGTGTGGGGTACCCGAGAGCGGCGTGCTGGGGAGCTGGTGTGGCGGCGGCACGGCCAGGCTGCAGCTCCCAGGGTTTCCAGGTGAAAAGGTGCCTGGAGTAAGGAGAGGAGAAGGGAAGGACACGGGGCTGAGCCCAGGGGGCAGGAGGTGGAGGTGAGCGTGGGTCTGTGGCTTTGTCTGCCCAAGAGGAAGGTTGGTAAGGGCAGGAGGTGCACCGCGGGGTGCTGCTGGAGGAGCAGCCCCTCCTGACCCTGGTTATAGACAAAGGCTGCCCAGCCAGAACGTGTGCCAGAGCACAAGAGCAGTGCTGAGGGGGGATGCTCTGAGCTGCCCCGGGACTGGGGGTGCCCTGGGAGGACAGGACTGGAGGTGTCAGGGGTGTTCCCATGCCCTGGATGGGATGCAGCCCAGTGACAGCACCTTCACCTCAGCACAGGCAGCTCCGGCTGCCCTGGGGCCTTAAGGTGAAGCAGCAGGGTGCCAGGGCAGCCACGCTGAAGCAGTGAGCAGCACGGTGGCTATGTCCCATGCCACAGCTGTGGATGGCAGCAAGTGTCCAGTGCTGCAAGAACAGAGGATGCTGGGGTGATGGGCACAGTAAACCACACGTGTGTGCGTGGTCTGGCCATGGTGTCAGCCACGGGGACCACTGCTTATAGCCCTCAGGCAGCACACTGGTTTTGCAGTGGGTACAGCTGGTTACTGGCACTGCCAGCTCTTGCCATGGTGACCCCTACCCCGGCAGTTGCTGATGGGGATCATGCAGTCCTGTGGACCCCATGTGGGATTTGCCCCGGCATGAGCTGTATGGCCAGGATGCGCTGTCACCTGCTACAGCTGGACAAGTGCGGCATGCATAGGGTAAAATGTGGTAAGCTGGTAAAACCCAAACTGTGTGTCCTATGAATGGGCCTGAGCTCCTTCATCCCTACTCAGTAGCTCCTGTCTGTCCTTCCCTTGCAGGTGCTGTATGGAGCAGTGGGATCCCTCTGCATAGAGCATTCCCCTGCCCAGCCCTGGTGTGAGCCCCAGGGACTGTGGTTGGCAGCCAGCACAGCCCCACAGGGAGGGATTGCTTGCAGGGATGGGCAGAAGGGGCTGGAAGAAAAGCACTGCCCTTCACCAGCAGTGTGCCAGGCTAAATATAGCCCCCAGCCCTGTGAGGAAACCCTGCTGCATTATGAATGAGGCTTGCAATAAGCCCCTGCTCATCAATAGGGAGGAAGGCTGGCCAGGCAGGAGGACAGCTCCTGTGGGATGCAGGCGAGCACGGCGGGGCTGACTGGGACTGCAGGGCTGGCTGAGGACCCAGCAGCCTGTGCCTCCCTCGGTGGCTGCCCGTGGTGCCCCTGCTCCTCCTCTGCAGGCCCCAGCCACTGGAAGGAGCTGAAAGCCACGTGCGGCGGCAGCAAGCAGTCCCCTGTGAACATCGACAGGCGCCGGCTGCAGCGGGACCGGGGCCTCGGGGACATCCTCTTCGAAGGCTACGACCAGGCCCCCCCGGGCAAGTGGAGGCTGACGAATGATGGGCACACAGGTACGAGCTGCATGGGGACCCCCCCGTCCCATCTCCCAGGCACTGTCCTGCCCTGGCTCAGTTCCACCACCAGTGTGGGTGTCCTCTGCCCCTGTGGGTGTGTGTTAGTGCTGGGATGAAGCCTGAGGAGGATGAGTCCAAGTGTGCCAGGGCTGTCCTGCATCCTCACCCCATCCCGCTGCCCTTGCAGTGATGCTGAGCCTGGCGAGTGAGTTGGTCTCTGAGCACATCGCCATCAGCAGCGGGGGCCTCCCCGGCAGGTACCGTGCGCTACAGCTCCACTTCCACTGGGGCAGCCCAGCGGGGAATGGCTCCGAGCACACTCTCGACGGGTGCCAGCTCCCCATGGAGGTAGGTGAGACAAAACACTCCCTGGGTGGCCCAAGTCCTTGCTATGATGGGAAGGTGTGATCCCAAGGCTGCCGTGCAGGCTCTGGGATGCTGCACTGGCAGGTTTGGCTGTGCTCCCATCACTTGTGCTGATGGTGGGATACAGGCAGCTGCTGCACAGGGCACCTGGGTGGTTGGAAAGCAGTTGATGCAAGACTCTGAGGTTTTGCTTTGTGGTTTGTGGGCCACACTGCCTTGTTGGAGGCACTGGGTGAGGTTCGGATGGCTCTGTGCCCCGCTGAGTCAGTGAATGCAGCAGGAGTGTGCAGGAGCATGCTCTACCAAGCGTGTTGGGATCCTTCTGGGTGAAAGAGGCTCTGTGCCTCTTTCTTTGCTCTCTGTGCAAAACTGATGTACTGTGGCTGGTGGGCGGTTGCCCATGCTTGGCCCCTCTGTGCTTTCCCCAGATGCACATTGTGCACATGAACGCCAAGTACCGGACGCTGGCAGAGGCCAAGGGGCATCCCAATGGGCTGGCGGTCCTGGGCTTCTTCTTCCAGGTGGGTCTGAAACTGCTGGAGGGAGGGCACCCTGTGCTGGGAGCAGGCCCCTCAAGGCACGGCTGGTGGAGCCTTGCATGGTGCTCCGAGGCAGCGAGAGGGGCAGGGAGGCTGGGCCAAGGCCAGGAGGTGCTGGAGAACCTCAGTGGTGCAAGGTGCCCACCGCTGGCTCCGTGCAACGGGAGCTGTGAGCTCTTCCCCACTGCTGCTCTGTGGTGATGTGGGGCTGGCTCTGCCTGCGGATGCTCAGCAACATGGAATGACCTGGCTCTGCGCTGCCCCAGCCGCTTACCCTCCTCACCCACAGGTCTCTGAAACTCCTAACACCAACTACAACACCATCGTGGCGGGGCTGAGGAACATCTCCCATGCAGGTCAGTCACCTTCTCATTGGGGTGGGGGTGAAAAGGGGAGAACCCTCCTCAGGGGGTTGCACTGGGGAGGAACCTGACAGTCTATGGCACCATCTGGCTGAGGGGAAACTGATGGGGGCGGCCCTGCTGTCCCCACCCCGTCCCTGGCATGGCACAGGCTGAGCACCCGTGTCCACAGGGGACTCTGTGGATTTGGCCTCCACCTTCCGCCTGAGCACGCTGCTGCCGCGTGCCGGCCGGCTCTCCCGGTACTACCGCTACCAGGGCTCCCTCACCACCCCCGACTGCAGCGAGGCCGTCCTCTGGACCGTCTTTGAGGAGCCGGTGGAGATCGGGCGGGAGCAGGTACCAGTGTGCACAGCCTGAGGGGATGGGCCTCCCGCCTGCCCCCTCTCCTTGCCCTTCCCCACCCCTCTGCACAGGGAAAGTCATCTCTACAGTAATGCTCCTGGCAACCAGGCACTTAATTTAATGAGCGTTAAGTAATGGAGCCATGGCCACATGCCAGCTCGGAGACATCCTGTCCATAGCGCTCTGCCACCCAGCCCCAGTATTCAGAGAGTGAAATGGGAGCAAACCCACTGGAGCTTAGAAGAGGGTCCCAGGGGGTGGGTGGGCGGATGGATGGATGGATGGATGGATGGATGGATGGATGGATGGATGGATGGAGTTCTCCTCTGCTGCCCAAGCATCTTAGCAAATGATGGAGTCATGGAGGGAGTCATTGAGGGAGTCATGGCCCAGCTACTCTTCCAAGCACTCAGCGCAGCCACTGAAACACAATTACCTCCTTTAAAACTCAAGACCTGATCCTTTTAAGGACCTGGTTCATGTACTTGCCTTATGGGTCTGGTTTGGGGACAGCAGTGAAGGGTTGCGGGACGCCCCCCTCTGCAGCGGGGCCACGGCATGGACCCTGTGCACATGAGGGACAGCAGGGAAGGGGCCTCACGAGCCGGCAGGGGCTGGTGTGCCTGGCACCGGGGCTGCCCGCCCGCTCTCCCTGCGCAGCTCCAGGCCTTCGTCAGCACCCTCCACTTCCCGGCCGTGGGCTCCACGCTCCCCACAATGACCAACAACTTCCGCCCGCCGCAGCCCCTCCACGGCCGCAAGGTCTTCGCCTCCCGGGCGGCCACGGCCAGCGGGGGGTCCCCACACAGAGCCCCCCATCAGTTCCTCTCCCCACTGCTGCTCCTGGCCCTGCTCGGCCCCTCCTCGCCAACCCCCTAACGCCTGGGCCGGCCGCTCACCAGCCTCCACACGAGCACCCCCCTGCTGCACTGGTGATGCCGCTGGTCCACGGGTGGATGGGACAAAACGGCACAAAGAAGCACGTCGGGACCTGCCAAGGTGAAGGTGTTGCAAACCTGGATCTCTGCAAGCCCAGAATGCGCCTGGAGCCGGGTGGTGGAGCTGCTGGGAGTGGGATGCTGTAGGCCCTGGGATGAAGCCGAGGTCCTCGCTGATGGCTGTGGGTTGCTGCCTCTTTGGCTCTGTGTCTCTTTGGCAGGGCTGTGCAGGCAGGCACGAGCCTTCCCCTTTCCTCCTTGTGCAATAAATCCCCATGGCCAAATCCTGTCCCTGCACGTGGCTCAGTCCCTGTGGTCCCTGTGCTGCTGGGACCCTGTTGCTTTCCCAGGAGTTGGGGCTGGCTGGCAGAGGGATGGGGGCTGCTCCTGGGGCCACAGCACCCTCAGTGCCCTGGGGCAGGACACAGGGCACCCATGGCTAATTTTACACTGGCACAAATCACTGTGCTGCCCAGGGAGGCAGGGGGAGAGCCAGGGCCTGAGCGAATGGGGCAGTTCATAATTAATGAGCTGAAGCTCCAGGCATGTTCCCGTCTCCCCCTGAATTATGGGTGTAAGGGCACAGGTCGTTATCTGGGAGCAGATCCCCACACCGAGGTGCCTGCGGGCTCTGTGGGTGCTGGGGCTCTATAAGCCCCCCCCAGAGCTGGGCCTGGGAGCAGCGGCCCTGGCCTGTGGAAGGGCGGCAGAGCTGGTGCGTGCTGCCCGGGCTGCTGTTGGCAGCCCACAGGATGCAGCCCATGGGGTGCCGGGGGCTGCTGCAGGCTCCCGTCACGGGCACGGTGGTGGCCATCGCGCAGCTCGGTAACTGCCGGCGGGCTCCGGCTGGCGCCGGCTGGAAGCAGTATCCTGGCTCAGGGGCCGCCCATGTGCTGACCTTTCCTTAAGGACCTCGTTAGTGCCGGGGAGCGCCCTGGCCGCCTGCCCCGCCGCGCTGGGGGCTGGGGCCGTGCTGCCGCCCTGTGCCCGCCCGTGCCCCGGCCCCGCCAGCACCGACACCGGCACCGACCGCGGGACACGCGGCGCCACAGCGGCAGGCGGCCGCCAGGGGGAGCTCGCCCCCCGGCTGCGGGCGCGGCTGTGCCCGGGTCGCTGTCACCCGCGGGCCTGTGCCCTGCGTTTCCTCCCGAGCCCCTTATCCCTTCGTGTTGCGGAGCACCAGTCCGATGAGGAGCGGCTGGGGGAGATGGGGTTGTTAATGCGGAGAAGAGAAGGCTCAGGGTGGTCCTTATCACGCTCCCCAACTACCTGAAAGGATGGAGCCAGGATGCAGCTGGTCTCTTCTACCCAGCAACAAGCGATAGGACAAGAGGTGACAGCCTCAGCCTGTGCCAGGAAGGGTTTAGATTGGATATTAGGAACAATTTCTTCACTGAAAGGGTGCTCAGCCATTGGAACAGACTGCCCGGGGCACTGGTGGAATCGCTGTCCCTCGAGTGCTCAAAAATGGAGTAGGCAATGGACTTGATGATATTAAAGACCTTTTCCAACCTAGTCCGTTTTGTGGTTCTATGTTCCCCCTGTGTCCTCCAGTCTGTCTGTGCCCCCATGTCCCTCCATGTCCCCACCGTGCCCCTGCCCCTCACACCCACAGGCTGCAGGATGGCGGCCCCATGAGTCCAGCCTGGGGCCAGCCCAGTGTAGTCACAGGAGCAGTGGGTTCAGCCACAGAGCATGGCAGTGCCTGGCCACCCACAGTGACCCCTACATGGCTGCAGCCTCCCAGGCCAGTGTGTGAGGGGCACCTGGGGCCAGACCTTGCTTGACAGGGGGCTCATTGAGGGCACAAAGCTGTGGCTCTTCAATGGCAGCAGGGGATGCCCTGTCCTCGGGGTCCCTATTCCCTGGGGAACCTGTCCTGGTCAGCTGTGGTGCCCCTGGCAGAGGACAGCAGTGGCACCAGGCAGCCAAGCCCCTCTGTACAGCAAAACCACTCCAGGGGCCCAGAACACGCCATGCATCCTCCTAGGTCCCCCGATCCGGGGAGGTGCTGTGCCTCCCACTGGGAACACTGGGCTGCCTTGCCTGCCTGGGAAAAGGACCTGGAACCATTCCCCAGCCCAAGAGCCGTTGCTGAAATGGGTCTGCAAGATGTCTTTTCCCGCCTCCTGCTCGGGCGGGCAGCGATGCTCTGGGTGTCAATCATGCTGCGGTCGCGGTGTGTGCCGGGGCTATTCCTGGCTCCCAGCTGCTGTTTGGCAGCAGCAGGCCCTTGGTTTTGGCCAGGCTGTAATTTTAGCAGTGGCTGTTCCTGATCAGCGCGGCTGCGGTCGGCACAGCTGCCTGCAGAGCCACCGCTCAGCTGGGGACAGTGGTGCATGGCGGCAGCGCCTGCCCATGGCCACCTGCGGTGCCCAGCCATGGCAGAAGCGCTTAAACCTGGTGTTCCTACCCCACCCTGGTGCTGAGGAAGGGGAAAGGGCTTTGCTGGGGCTGGAGGTGAGGGTGGCACTGGGCAGAGTGAGGGATTCAGCCCCAGGGTGCACCACACATCTCCCTTCAGTCCCCTCATGCTGACTGCAGAAGCCATGGCACTGGCACTGCTCACCCTGGCAGGATGTGGAGAGGGAGAAATGCAGCTTGGAGCCTCCTTAACTGCCTGAGTCAAACCCTTTAGTTGCATCCTGAGGGCCCGGTGAGGATCACAAGGGGCTGCCTCCATCACACCCGCCATCCACCTCTGCCACCACCTTCTTGTCACCTACTACATAGAGATCTCTTCACATAGGCTAAAACCACCCCATTTTGGGGCTGAAATTTATCAACCATAATTCTGCAGCTAGGCAATACCAGCCTAGCACTATGACCCCCCCATCAGCACACCTGCCTGGCGGGACCCGCTGCTTCTTCCTGATGTGAGCAGAAAACACGGGTGTGCTGGGTCCCCAAGGAGGGCTGGAGCTCTGCTGGGAGCTCTATTTTATCACCACTTACACAGTTCAGATGACAAACCCTTTGAAGCAGCTGAGCCGTGTTTATTTTTCAGTCGGTTCAGCTTGTTTACAGCCTGTTTACAAGCCCAGGGGTTTATCTTTGGGGCTGTTTACCTCGGTTTAATACCCATCTAAACAACCCGACACCAGGGGTCGGGCACCGGTCCCCATGCAGCCGCCAGCTGCGTGCCCTGACGGTTGCTGTTTTGCCGGAGCTATGCAAATGCTCTCATCTCCACAGGCGGGGTGGATCGCTCAGGTCCTGTCTTCAACCACACCAGCCTCAAACGTTTATTGATTTCATTTAATTCCCTTTCAATCCTAGGGCAATGGAACCTCAGCCTTCGGCTCTCTGGCTGTTCCCAGCTGGGGCTTTGATCCAGAGCTGCCCAGGGGGTGTTTGATGGTGTCTGATGATTCGTAACTTGTACTTTATCATTTATAGCCTCTGTTGTTTTCTCATTTATAGCCTGTATTTTACTCTCAGATCTGGGGGAATCTGCCCCATGCATCCTGCAGCAGGTTGGACTGAGGGACAAGCCTAAGGGGCTGCCTGGCAGGCGGCAGGGACTGTTCAGTGTAATTCAGTCAGTGAGAGAGGATTTAGGGTGACCTGGCCTAAAATGTGCTCCAGGTTTATACCCCGGTGGTGGTGGCACAGGGGAGCAAGTCCATGAGCTGAGCAGTGTCAGGGTCAGCCCTGGTTCTGAACCCCACATGGCAGTGGTGCCCAGCCTGGGGGCCCTGGATGCACTGGGATCACTGTGTGTGTGTGTGTGCCAGTGTGTGTGCATGCATGTGCACATACCCCACATCGGGCAGGGACCTCTGCCAGGCACCATCCTGCTGGGGACCCTCCAGGAGACGTGACCACAGGCTGGGGACACACACGCTGCCCTGGCTCACAGCCCCACCACCCTTGGTGCCATCTCACACGGGGTCCCAGGACCTGCACCCTGCCAGCTCTGGGCAGGGTACAGCTGCCCCAAAGCCTGTCCCCCCCGATGTGATGGCAAGTGAGGACTCAGCAAGGGAACAGGGGCAAAGCTCTCTGCAGCAAAGAGCCAGCGCTCATGTCAGGGCTCTGCTGCAGCACTCGCTCCCCTTCACACGTCAGCACACACTGGACATGGTTTCGCTTCCTTTTCTGGGGCCCCTTTCGAGTTCCTGACTGGGGACTGGGGCAGGTCAGGAGTTAAATTTAGCTGGGGATGCCCCACTCTGCACAGCTGCACAGTGGCAGTGCCGGGGGTCCAGGAGGGCACCGAGCTGGCGTGGCACAGCCTGGGCTCTGCACAGCCTGCCCCAAACCCTGTGGAGAAGGTCTGGGTTATGGGGAAGGTGGCTACGTGAGCAGGGGGTGTCAGGATAGGGTGCAGCAGCCACCAACCGCCCCTCTGGGTGCCCCGGTCAGGCAGGGCAGAGCCCATCAGGCATCACCCAGCCTGGGCACAGCAGCAGAGCCAAAGCAGGGGGCTCATTGTGTCCTCCCGCTGCCATCCCAGTGGGGTCCGGCTCTGCCCCGCTCCCCACAGCCTGGCCTGGGGCTATTGTTGGCCCCCGCTCTCGCTTTCGGGTTTCAGCCCTGCTCCTCCCGAAGCGGTGGCTGTTGGGGTGGCCGGGCAGGCAGAACATCCCCGTCCGCTCGGGCTGTGCCACGTCGCACAGGGCTCTGCAGAGGAGGGGTTTCATCAGCCCCAGGTGCACGCGCTCTGCTCCCGCCACGTCCCCACAAAGACGGTGGGAGATGCTGGGGGAAACACGGGGTGACGGTCAGTGCAAAACCAGCAAGCCCAGGCTGGTTTCTGGGGGGACAAACCCTGTCAAGTTGTCCCTCATGGATGGGGTTCAGCACGGCCGCCCCCAAGTGCAAGGTTGTGGGTGCAGGAGCTGCCCTCACCCCAGGGCAGGCTTTGGGGACCTCTGGGGCTGGGGGTGATGCTTTGGGCACAGGTTGCAAGAGCTCCCACTGCCCCATGCTCCTTTGTTCCATCCCCACATCCCTCCCTCTGGTCCCAGCCATGGGGTCCCTCCAAGCCCAAAGCATCTAAACCACAGGGGTTTATTAAACTCCCTCTAAGGCCTTGCTAAGCCCTTGTCTGTGGGCGCAGATCTCACCGAGCCCTGCTCCCACCATGGCACCTGCTGCAGCTCTCTGCCGCTAAATAAAGCCCTTCTGAATCATCCCATCTACTAAAATAGATCCCCCTCGTTCAGTTAATGGTGAGCTGGGGAAACAGAAAACAAACAGCTTTAAAACGGCAGCGCAGGAGATGCAGAGCGAGAGCGAGAGCTGCAGCTGCGGAGGGAGGGATGCAGGTTTCTGTTTCCCTCAGCAGAAAACCCCACCGAGGGTGGCTGCAGGAGCAGGACAGCTCTTTCCTTCCCAGGCACCGCTTCCCAGGCCTGGATCAGGCCCCGCATCCCGGTGTGATTCCCAGCAGTGGCTCCCCAGCACTGTTGAAGGCTTGCTATGGATAAAACCAGGGTTGGGAGCTTGCTGTGCTGTGGCAGCGGGGGGAGCACGGGAGCACTGGGGTGGGGGACATTGATCCATAATTCAGCAGCTTTTCCCTCGCTTATGGAAGGGATTTAGCAAACTCTTTTGATCAATCATTAATGAGGTTCCCTGCCCCTGGAGTCAGATGCACCAGTGCTAACCCAGACCCAAGGTGAAGCCAGACCCAGCCCGACCTGCCCCAAACTGAGCCCATGAAGGCTCAGTCTGGTGTCTTGTGAGCAAGGGACAGGCTTTACCCACGGGAAGCTGGGATGGATTTCAAGCCCTCTGGAAAGTGTTGCCCTGCTGCCCCCTCCTTGCTAGCTGCCCCCGACCCCAATGTACCCAATGTAGCAGCGTAAAATCTGGCAGCATGGCTGCAACAGGGGCTCCTGTGTCACCCCATCATCCCCTCCAGCCTCAACCACAGCTTTAGGGTATGGTTTGCCAACTGCTGGAATCAATAATTAGTGAAGTTTGGGCTTTCTCAGTGGGAAATGGAAGCAGGCGTCCTTCCTGGCAGCAGGTCTTGCTCCTTGAGGCTTTCCCAGCTGGCACAATCCCAGGCAGCCTCTACTGGGCAAAAGCCCCAGCAGAGCCATGACAGAGAGACAAGGATGCTGCAGGCAGGGGTTTGCCAGGGAATAACCTCCCTTGAGCAGGGCATCCCTTGAGCTGGTGCCATCTCTGGGTCTGTGTCCCCCAGCAGTGAGCTGGGATGGGTGCCGCAGGGATCTCACCTCCCAGACCCCTGCTGCAGCCTGGCAGCCCCCCTGGACCAACGCTGCCACTGCAGGCTCTTCTCTGCCCAGGAAACTGTCTTAAAGGAGCTTATGTTGGAGCACAGCAGGACAGACCCTACCATTGCTCTGCCCACCTTCCTCTAGCTCCACTGCAAGCTGAGCATCCCACTCCTGGCACCTTCCCCAGCTGCTGCAGTCTGGTCTGTGTATGGGTTTGTTCCATTCCATGGGGATGGGGTTTCCTGTGAAAACCCCGAGCCTTGTCACCTAATACATGGGCAGGGACACTGGGACTGCTTCCATCTCCCCAGTCCCCTGTGTGCAGCAATGAGAGGGGAGTTTGCTCCATGGATGGGGCTGGGCCGTGGCAGGGTCTCTCTTGCCTGGCTGGGGAGGATAAAGACAGAATAAAGTCAATTGTTTTGGAGCACAAAGTGCCTCTTGGAACCTCTGGTGGGGTCCAGACCCTGCTGCCAGCTTCCTACCAAAAGCAGGAGGGAGGGAGGGAGGGGAGGGGCAGACCAGGGCGCAGGCTATGTCCCCTTCTGCCCCTTCCATCTGCATCCTGCCAGGACAGCCCAGTGCCCTGGGCCCCGCAGGGCTGGCACACATCCCTGCAGGGCTGGCACATGGCCCTGGAGCTGCTCGGGGCTCCTGGGGACAGCTCGTGCTGTGGAGGGCAAAATGCCTGGTGCAGCCAGGAAACCCCAGTGGCCCTGGAGTGGGTGCAGGGGACAGAGGCTGGGCAGGGGGGAACGGTTTGGGCATGGGGACATGGGGACAGCATGGAGTGGGGAGCTGCTGTCTCCAGTAGCAATAGGGAGGGATGGGGACAGGGATGGGGATGCTGGTGGAGCAGAGAGCCTCAGGCTGAGACTGCAGGCCCAGGGCTGGCTGGAGAACTGTGTCACCTGCAGAAATGCAGGCTGGAAAAGCACCTTATCAGGGTAAACAGCAGCATCTTCCCACCAGAATAAAGTCTTCTGAACTGTTAATCCACTGTGTTGCCATTGCTGGGATGCCCCCAACAGCACTGGAGGACATGGGGCTCCTTTTGCGAGCAGCAGAACCACTGCTTTGTTCAGGCCACCCACCCTGTCCTGTCCACGTGAGCAAGAGATGGCTGAAAGAAGCTTAATTCTACTCCAAGTTCCTCTTTGGTACTTGCTTTCCTGGCAGGCTTGGAGTCGGTGCTGCAGTGCTTGCTCCCTGGAAGGTTCCATACCCTTAGACATTTTGCCAGACAAGGAGCAATGCAGAGAGAAGAAACTGCCCCTTTGGATCTTGTCCCATAGAGTTTGAGTTTGGCAGATTTTTTGGTTTCATTTTGGCTTCATTTCATGATAAACCCACAAGCGGCTGCTGAACGATTGAGTGAAAAAAGAGCATTAAAGAGCTGGGGTGGGCAGCTCCATCAGAGCTTTCTGGGGTGGATGGAGGCGTCAGGGTGGGTAGGATGGGTGGAGGCACTGGGGTGGATGGGATAGATGGACACAGCAGAGGAGAGCTCTGGAGCCCCGAACACAAGGGGGACATGGAGCTTTTGGAGAGAGTCCAGAGGAGGCCACCGAGATGCTGCGAGAGCTGGAGCAGCTCTGGTCAAGACAAGCTGAGAGCTGGGATCTGGGGAGACCTTATTGTGGCCTTCTGGTACTTAAATAGGGCCTGTAAGAGAGATGGGGACAAGGCTTTCAGCAGGCCCTGGTGCATTAGGACAGAAGGTAATGGTTTTAAACTAAATGAGGGTAGATTAGGCGAGATATGAGGAATACATTTTTAATGATGAGGGTGATGAAACACTGGAACAGGTTGTCCAGAGAGGTTATAGATGCCTCATCCCTGGAAACATTCAAGGCTATGCTGGAACAGGGCTTTCTTTAAGCAACCTGTCTGAGGTGCAGATGCCCCTGCTCATGGCAGGGGTGTGACTGGATGACCTGTAAAGGTCCCTTCCAACCCAAACCATTTTGTGATTCTATGAGACTCTGTCACCAGAAATGGCTGCAGGGACACAGTTTCCCCTTGCACAGGATGCAAGGGACAGACTGGTGCATGTGCATGACTGGCGGCTACACCGGCACCCCCATCCTTGTGGACACAGTGATGACAGAGGAAAGAGGGACACAGCCAGGGCTGGTGGCAAAGGGACATGGCTGTCCATGGCATGTCCCACCGCAAGCCATACATCCCTGCAAGGGACCTGGCACCCAGAGGCCAGCAGGCAAGGGATGAGAATGGCACAGCCAGGGCCATGTGCTTGCTGCTGGGCTGGGGGTTTAGATTAGGCTGCTGCCACAGGCTGCTCATCCCCTGGTCCCAGCAGTGCCGGGGGGTTCATTGGGGTTCCCAGGGGGGAGCAAGAGCTGCAAGGAGCCCCAGCACTATGTGTATGTGTTCCCATCCCACCCTCCTCCGTACCGGTGCCCCTGGAGGCGTGAAAGGACACAGAGACAGGGATGCTGAGGCAGCGCTAGTTCAGTGTCGGTGTTTATTTGTGGGACACTCAGGGTGGGGGGACAGGAACAGGGCACTGGGGGACATCCGCAGCAGGGAGAGAACCGCTGCCCCTCATGGTGGGGAAGGGGGGGGCACGAGGGTGCGCAGGGAACAGGGACATCCCAGTGGGGTTAGGAGCACTGGGATCTATTCAGGATCTTCTCTACATCTCCAGCCTCGTGCGTGACCTTGCAGGCATAGGTTTCGTGGCTCTTATAGTCAGAGGCACCCAGGGTCAGGTAGCTGCTGGCCAAGTACTTGTTGTTGGCCTGCCGCACCGCCTTGCTGGTGTCGGCCCCAGTGCTGATGGTTTTGCCATCAGCCGTCCAGGTCACCTGCATGGAGCTGGGGTAGAAGTCTCCCAACAGACACACTATGGTGGCTTTGCCCTCAGACTCGATCTGCTCACTGGGTGGTGGGAAGAGGTACACAGTGGGGGACGTCTTGGGCTGGCCTGTGAGGGAGAGAACGTTGAGGAGTCAGAGGGGGCTTTGTGCCCCCCACAACCCCCTGCCTGCCTGCACTGCACAGAGACCCCCCACTTCCCCCACCACTGACAGTTCATCGTCTATAACTCTAATGTATTTGCATTGGGGTACAGCTATATTTTTATAGTGTTGCATATATAAACATGTATAAGCACACATATATACACATATTTCATATATGTATAACATGCATTTTATACATATATGTGTGTATTGTACATATGTGTGTGTATTGTACATATATAAAATATATAGTTATATAAATGTATGTATAATTACATACCATGTATAATATACAGTTATGCATGTGTACATATTCATATATAAAACCCATGTTACATATCTACTATATAAGTATATATAAATATACATAGCATACTATATAAAAGTATATGTCTTATATATATTGTATACCTATATATAGTATATAATACATATAAAACAAAATCTCTGGTTACTTGCCCTAAACCCCTTTCTTCCCTTTTGCGAGGCAATTTCATCTAAAAAATCAGATTTTTGAAGACAAATGCTCCCGTTTCCTGCCCAGCTCTGCTTTCACACCCTTTCAGGTCCGTCTCAAAACAAGCACAACTAAGAACCACCCAAAGGAAGACAGAGAAAAGATGTTTGGTCCTTCTGAGGTGGTGCTGCTGCCTCCTCAAAGCTGCAGTGTGTGTATTTCTATTCAAACCCCAGGACTCCACCATTCAAAACTTCCTGCTGCAGAAATCATCAAACTTGATTTTCTGCCCCTAATGATTTGGTTCAGGGTGGGATTTTTTTGACGAATTCTCCTAAAACTGACCCAGACAGACAGACCATGCTCCCCGCAGCGTTTCCAACACAATAACCTCCCGTCTTTACACGGCTTCCCTGGACAACGTGCTCTTTAAGAGATCCCTGACAAGTGTTTGGTTAAGATCCCAGGGATGTGCCCATTTAACACAAAGTCGGACGCGCTTTCAGCCTGCTCCTGGCCAAGGACAGGCTCCATTTTGCAGTGCCTGCACCCCTGGCTGCTTGAGCCCAAAGAGAAGCCCATTCTCCTCAGTCCTTCAGGACTAAGAACTGAGGACCTAGACCTTAAACTAATGACTAATTCCTTTAACAAAGACAAAAATTCACTGTCTTAGAGACCTAAATCTGCATTTCTGAAATAGGCTCCTGGGGACCTCAGGCACATTTCCTGGCCAAATTTTAAGACCTTTCAATTGAGAAAATACCCCCCCCTCAGTCCTCTATGGCCCGCACCAGAGCCCTCCGAGTCCGCAGGGACAAGACACAACCCAAAACGCTGCACTTAGTGCCTGTCTCTGAACTGGCGGCAAATCCCAGCCCAGCACCAAGTCCGAGCCAAATCCCCCAAATCACCCCAAAATCAACAAAACGTCACAATTTCACGGTGGGGAAGGAAAGACCGAGACGAAATCAGCGACTCACCTAGGACGGTCAGCATGGTCCCGGCCCCAAATACACCACACAGTGACACAGTGCCATGCAAAAACCCCTGCCTCATGGCAGGAGAAGTTCTGGTTCCCATGGGTATGGCAGGGTGAGGTGATAGGATGGAGATGCCCCAGTGGATGCAGCAGGATGAAGGTGATTGGCTGGAGGTGTCCCAATGGACACAGCAGGATGAAGGTGATTGGATGGAGGTATCCCAATGGACACAGCAGGATGAAGGTGATTGAATGGAGGTGTCCCGATGGACACAGCAGGATGAAGGTGTCCTGGTGGCTGGGTGCACTGTGCTGGATGTGCCCAGGTGGATGTGGCAGGGCAGGAGCAGCAGGACAGCCATATGGGAATGAATGCAAGTCCTTGCTGGAGCATCCATGAGGAAAGGGGTGGCCTTGGCCCCGCCAGCCCACTTGGAATCTGTTGGCTGGGCTTTCCAGAGATATGGCTGTGCTGTTGGCTATCCAAGGCCCCACTGCTGCAGAGGACTGCCCACCTATTGATTTTTATTTTCCTTTTTTGTTACTAATGCCTCAAAATTGTTTGAGTATACTTGTGTAAGCATTGCTATTGCTCGATATTTGGCAGTATATCCTCTTCATTATAAAGGAAGGCAGGAAGAGGTTCAGTAATCAAATTCCTGAATGAAAAGATTGTGATCTTCAGTGCAGTGGGCACATGGTCAACAAATAACATCAAGTGGTGCCTCATGCTCATAGAATGTGACATGCGTTCTTTGTGTAAGCATTTTGATGGTTTATTACTGGCATCAAAAGACAAAAGGAATTAGAGAGGAGATAGATGTACTGTGTCTTTACAGTGGGTGAGTATCTGAAGTGGCAGATCCTCTACTGGACAACAAAAATAAAGCTCTTTCAGGTAGGTCTTAGGAAACAATTTCTCTCTGCAAAAGTTTCCATTCCTCATACAGCATTGAGAAAATAGATTGAGTAGCCAGGAGATCAGTGACCTAGGCAAATCAACATTACATATCACAATCCATTTAAACTTCTGATGTTGGAAAAGCTGTTTGAAGACTGGCTTCCCTTAGTCAGAGGTGTCCCTGCCCATGGCAGGTGGGCTGGAACTGGATGATCTTAAGGTCCTTTCCAACCCTAACTATTCTATGATTACAAGTCCATGTCCCTGCCTGTGCTGTGAGGCCGTTAATCTCAGGTGATGAAGAACTTTGGGTGCCCCTTAGGCACCACAGGCAGCATCGTGCCTTGACCTGTGCTGCTGCCACTCAGGCAGCTGTGGGCTGCACTGGGGGACCACCAGCCGTCATCCTGCCACACCACGGCTGTGGCCAGGGGAAATGGGGATCACTGTAGACAGTATGTGTGGGAGTAAACTTCATAAATAAACTTCCTTTCCTTTCCTTTCCTTTCCTTTCCTTTCCTTTCCTTTCCTTTCCTTTCCTTTCCTTTCCTTTCCTTTCCTTTCCTTTCCTTTCCTTTTCCCTTTCCTTTCCTTTTTCCTTTCCTTTTTCCTTTCCTTTCCTTTCCTTTTTCCTTTCCTTTCCTTTCCTTTCCTTTATCCTTTCCTTTCCTTTTTCCTTTCCTTTCCTTTCCTTTCCTTTCCTTTCCTTTCCTTTCCTTTCCTTTCCTTTCCTTTCCTTTCCTTTCCTTTCCTTTCCTTTCCTTTCCTTTCCTTTCCTTTCCTTTCCTTTCCTTTCCTTTCCTTTCCTTTCCTTTCCTTTCCTTTCCTTTCCTTTCCTTCCTTCCCACTGCCCAGAAACACCAGCACTGGCTTAGAAGCAGCAGTATGGAGCATCTGCTGAGGGCCAAGACAAACAAAAGGGGTTGGGCAGGAGACATCAGAGGCTGTTGGTAGAGAAGAAGAGCTGGACTAGAGGAGAAAAGCATGCAAGGGATGCAGATGTCTACATACATCTGCAGCAGCCAAAGTAGAGGTGAGCCAGGATGAGTTTCAGCTAAGACAAATAAACTTCAAATTCCCCAGGGAAAGCTTGGCTGCTGCTTTGTAAAGTGTTTTCCCAGCATGCTGCCAATCTCTCGGGGCACAGGCTGCTCGGCTCAGAGCAAACAAGCTCTTGCAGCAATGAATGTAAAGAGCAACAACTTAAACTCAGCCAGAAAACGTTCAAATGTCGTGGTTTGTGCACGCAGTTACAGTCAGTGAGTCCAACAGCTCCTGAGTTCTTAGAAAATAAATGATGCTTCAAAGATGTTGTGGTTTGAGGCACGTTCCATTTCATTTTTACTCTGCCTCTGGGAATGCTTTATGTATTGGGGCATAGACTAAAACTAGCCAAAAAATCACTGAAATTATCTATGCAAAGCATTTACCTGAAGCCAATGCTATCTGTGGTGGGCAAGCACTTTCTGAGCATCTTTTCAGCCTTCAGTTGGGTTTTGGTTCTATTCTAAAGCAGGATAATAAAGGCAGACAACATTAGGCTCTGCTAACTAAAGCAGACATCAAGGGCATGGCCATGGCAGGGAGCTGCCCAGCCATCAAACAGGCACAGCAGAGACTCCTAACTGGCCCCTGCAATGGCAGGAGGTTTTTGTATCACTTCCCTATTGTTTCATGTCACTGTGGGAATATAATTGCTGCCATCGTAGCCACCACAGTAATAGACGGCCTCGTCCTCGGGTTGGACCCCAGTGATGGTTAACGTGCCCGTGGAGCCAGAGCTGGATCCAGAGAATCGCGAAGGGATGTCCGAGGGTCTCCTGGTGTCACCGTAGATCACAGTGACAATGGCACCGCCAGGCACCTTCTGCTGGTACCAGCCATAGTTGTTGCTGCTCCCGGAGCAGGTGATCTGGGCGTTCTTTCCTGGCTCCACTGAGAGCGATGGGGGCTGAGTCAGCGCTGCCTGGACCAGGGAACCTGGAGAGGGAGAGGAGAGAGGGGAGGAGACGGGGGTCAGCCAGTGCCCAGGAGCACAGCCCTGCCCGGGCAGGGGGACAGGGCCCTGTGCACAAGGGCCCCATGAGGGCACAGCGAGTCTGGACAAGGCACCTGAGCCATGGGCGAGCAGCGCGAGGAGCAGAGGGGCCCAGGCCATGGTGCGATCCCACCAGCTCCGTGTCCCCACCACGATGGGGCTGTGCCGGGGACCCCATCTCCCTTTTAAGCCCCCCCACGCCCCCGGCACAGCCCCTCCATGCAAATCTGAGCCTGCGCTTGCGCCAGGTCCTGTCCGCACCTCTGTCCCCACCTCCTGCCCTGCTCCACCACCAGCCCCACACCCCGGAGCTGTGGGGCTTGTCCCTGGGCACAGACAGAGACACCTCCCAGTTCAGTGCCGCAAACCCACCCACACGGATCCCCCATCCCCAGTGTGGGTCAAGTGGCTGCAGAGCCAAAGGGCACGGGAGAAAGGGGCACTGGGGACCGTAGCTCTCGCAGCTCCACCATCCCCATGGGCTGGCAGAAGCAAACGAGCCAGTGCCCATGCTAGGAATGGAAGGACCAGCCCTTGCCCAGGCTATTGTCACTAGGGTGGATTCTTGGGTTCAGCTGGGCTGAACTGGGCTCTTGCATGAGGAAAGGGCTGGGAAAAGGTACAAGTAAAGCCCTTTTTTCCATCGCTCTGAGGTCCTCAGGTGGACACTATGTGTGGCAGATAAGCACCTGGACCTTAACCTGGAGTGGGTGAGTAGAATAGGGCCAGGAGCGGACTATACTGGGAGCTCAGAGGAGCCCTCACTCCTGAGCACTCATGGTGCTCGCTGCAGCCATGACCTCCTGGCCCCTGCCCATGGCTCGTGGCACTCCTGCCACACACCACAGTCACAGGCACAGAGCTGGAGAACAAGACCATGTGGGGCTCCCCTGCCCACTGCAGCTCCTGAGACACAAAGGAAGCCCCTATGGGGCCAGCAGCCCTGTTCAGAGCCTGGCAGTATCACTCGCCCTCATGCCAAACCTTGGCCCCTGCCCTGTCACGTTTGTGGGGACACAAGGGATGTCACACCGTGAGAACAAGTGGCACACCATGAAACGACAGGGCTGGTGCCTTTGTCCCCAGTGGCAGACCCAGTCCTGAGCTCCCGCAGCAGGATGAGGATGGGGTCAGGGTGCTGGGCAGAGCCTTGCTGTCGTGGGGGCCATAGGGTGACATTGCCCAGGAGCGGGGCTGCTCAGGGGGGCAGAGGTGCAGCCAGTGCTGCAGCACCCATGGGCTCCTCGTGCAGCACAACAGATCAGCGCCCAGCCAGCCCTGTTCTGCCTGGCAGCCTTGTGCATGACCCTGGAGCTCTGCACCACAGGAAACATCTCTTGCCATGGCTGGAAGGGAAAGCATCAGCCCTGCTCTGCAGCCAGTGATGTGTTCCACATCCCAGCTGTGGGGCTGCAGTTTGAACAGGGCTGCAGCACCCTTGGGGGATGCCCCAGGGGCTCCCTGTGCAGGGGGGCTGGGAGGAGGGCAGGGAGCACCCAACAGTGCCCTGGGTGCAAGCTGGGAGCGCAGGAGCCCTTGGACCTGCGGTGCAGGGCAGGGACAGTGCTGCAGGGCCTCATCCCCTCCCTGAATGACAGGGGATGAGCACAGAGCTGCGGCACTAAGAGACATCTGATCGGGGACACCAGCACAGCCACCTGCAGCACAGACACCAAGGGCAGGGCCATGGCAGGGACTTGCCGTGTTTGTCCTTTCAAACAGGGACTGTAAAGATTCCTAAAAGGCCCATGCAATGGCAGGGTGTTTTTGTATCACTTCCCTATTGTTTCACGTCACTGTGGGAACATCAGTGCTGCCATCGCTGCCACCACAGTAATAGACGGCCTCGTCCTCGGCTTGGACCCCAGTGATGGTTAACGTGCCCGTGGAGCCGAACTTGGATCCAGAGAATCGTGAAGGGATGTCCGAGGGTCTCTTGCTGCTCTCATAGATCACAGTGACAGGGGCAGTGCCAGGCACCTTCTGCTGGTACCACCCAACAGCATCACTGCTGCCAAGCTCAGATTAGGTGAGATCACAGTCACCATGACACAGAGACAGCAGGGACTCCTGATGGGTCCCTGTGGTGACGGGGTTTTTGTATCACTTCCTCATTACTCTTTGCCACCGTGCCAGCAGCAGCACTGCTGTCCCAGCTCCCACAGTAATAGACGGCCTCGTCCTCGGGTTGGACCCCAGTGATGGTTAACGTGGCTGTGGAGCCAGAGTTGGATCCGGAGAATCGTGAAGGGATGCCCGAGGGTCTCCTGCTGTTAGCATAGATCACAGTGACAATGGCACCGCCAGGCACCTTCTGCTGGTACCAGCCATAGTAGCTGCCACCACCAGAGCAGGTGATCTGGGCGTTCTTTCCTGGCTCCACTGAGAGCGATGGGGGCTGAGTCAGCACTGCCTGGACCAGGGAACCTGGAGAGGGAGAGGAGAGAGGGGAGGAGACGGGGGTCAGCCAGTGCCCAGGAGCACAGCACAGCCCGGGCAGGGGGACAGGGCCCCTGTGCACAAGGGCCCCATGCGGGCACAGCGGGTCTGGACAAGGCACCTGAGCCATGGGCGAGCAGCGCGAGGAGCAGAGGGGCCCAGGCCATGGCGCGATCCCACCAGCTCCTTCTCCCCACCACGATGGGGCTGTGCCAGGGACCCCATCTCCCTTTTAAGCCCCCCCACGCCCCCGGCACGGCCCCTCCATGCAAATCTGAGCCCGCGCTTGCGCCAGGTCCTGCCCGCACCTCTGTCCCCACCTCCCATCCTGCTCCACCACCAGCCCCACACCCCGGAGCTGTGGGGCTTGTCCCTGGGCACAGACAGAGACACCTCCCAGTTCAGTGCCGCAAACCCACCCGCACGGATCCCCCATCCCCATTGCTGGGCCAGTGGTCAAGGCAGAGGTGAGCTGCTGCGGGTAACGGGGGCAGGCAGCACTGCAGCTCTGAGCTGTGGCTCTGGAACGACACCAACACCAGCACTCCCCACCCCAGTTTCGCCATCTTCCACTCCTATGGGTGTCCCAGGACATTAAGGTATCCTCTTGCTCTGCTGTTTCCCTGCCATGGCTCTTGCCCTGCCAGCCCAGATCCACCTCTCAAAACCTGTGCTCTTCCCAGGTGTCCACTCTCCAGCACCACGGGAGCCCCCAGCACCGGGCCCTGGCAGTGCCACCCCATGAGCGCAACCTCTGGTGCTGGGCAAACACAGCCAGAGCAGGGGCAGCCACAGGGCTCTGCTCAACCACCGGGGCAGCCCCCGGCCAGCCCTGCTCTGACCCAGGGCACAGGGCTCGTGGCCACCTTGGGCCCAGCCAAAAATCACTGTGACCACAGGAAATGCCAGCACCCCGTGACCCACCCCGTCCCCATCACTGCCTGCCCCTGGGTGCCCGGGGCACGTTGAGCAACGGGCAGAGCAGGGTGCAGGGGTCTGTCTCCTTGTGGGCTGCACAGAGGGGACCTGCTGGAGCAGAACACGTGCTCCATGGCAGGAGCCGCCTCACAGGAACATGTCCTGCTCCAACACAGCGTCCAAGCAGCACCTGCAGCAGCAGGCAGCACCTGCGGCATCAGCGGCCTTGGGTGTGCTGGGAGTCAGCATGACCCTGAGCAGCTCTGGTGCCCCAGCCAGCACAGGAGAAGACAGCCTCTGCCTCAGCCTGGAGCTCCGTGGTGAGGAGCGTGGCCATGGGGAGAAGCACCTTCCCTGGTGCTGCACAGCCCCTTGCCAAGTGACAGGGGACGGGCACAGACATGGGGGTCTAATGGACAGCCGAGCTGGGACATCAGGCTCAGGCGCTTGCAGCACAGGGCATGCCTATGGCAGAGACCTGTCCCACCACCAAACAGGGACAGCAGAGACCCTTAAGTGGCCCCTGCAATGGTGGGGAGTGTTTGTATCACTTACTCATTGCTCCATGTCACCATTATAGCTGCCATCGTAGCCACCACAGTAATAGACGGCCTCATCCTCAGCTTGGACCCCAGTGATGGTTAACGTGCCTGTGGAGCCAGAGCTGGATCCGGAGAATCGTGAAGGGATGCCCGAGGGTCTCTTGCTGCTCTCATAGATCACAGTGACAATGGCACTGCCTGGTGCCTTCTGCTGGAACCAGCCATAAACATTGCCGCTGCACCCAGATATGATCTTCCCCCCGGGAACAGAGACACTGGGGTGGGAGAGCCAGAGCCATGTGAGAGCAAGGGACTCAGGCAGGAGGTCTCCCTGCCCTGCTGCAGTGCCCCAGGATCCTGCAGGCTGGCAATTGCCCCTGCACCCTCCCTGGCACCCGGCATGGCTGCATTGCTGCAGGGCTGGGGGTGCAGCTCAGCCTGGGGGAGCAGAAATGCTGCAAAGCTTTTTGCAGGGAGCTCCATGGGCCCAGCTCCCAGCACTGCCCCAGGCTCTCTGCCCCTCACATAGATGCTAGCAGTGGAGACAAGCACAGCCAGGGCTTCACCAGTACCATGGCCCTGTCACTGGAGACACAGTCACTGCCCTGAGACACGGCACACAGGGAAGAGCATGGCGGGGGGGTGGGGGGGGATGGAAAACCCCAAAGCTGAAGAGACAGCACTGCCTGGTGGAGAGGGAGCAGGAGATAAACCCCACACCTCTGACTCTCAAAGGTGCACATAGCTCTGTGTCACCATGAGACTGATCAGTACTGCTGTCGTCCCAGCTCCCACAGTAATAGATGGCCTCGTCCTCTGCTTAGGCCCCAGTGATGGTTAACGTGGCCATGGTGCCAGAGATGGATCCGGAGATGTCCAAGGGTCTCTGGGTGTTCTGATAGATCAGAGTGACAGGGACACTGCCAGGCACCCTCTGCTGGAACCAGCCGTAGGTGTTGTTAATCATGAAGAAGGCAATGCAGGGCTTTACTTCTGAGGACACTTACATTAAGAGCACATGAGTAGACCTGCCTAGAGACCAGGAGGGAGAGGAGAAGGCAGAAGATGGGGTCACAAGTGCTGCAGGAGCACAGCCCTTCCTGGGCAGTGGGACAGTGATGGGTTTCCTGTGCCAGGGCCTGCAGGGCAGGGCATCTCGCGTCTAGGGAGCCCATTGGGAGATGATGTGTGAGAGAAGGAATGAATGAATCTCCAGCACACATTGGGCTGGTGAGATGCACCACCACGGAGACCAGAGACAGGGTACTGCTGGGGCAGGGGGCATGAGCTCCACCAGGGCCTTTTGAAGACCAAATGTGTCCCAGGTAACACCCTCTTCCCACATATGTCCTGCCAGTACAGCAGCACGAAGCACTCACGGCACACGGACTCTGGCCCATTGGCTTCTCTGCACCCCTTAAGATTAGTCAGGAATGTCCACAGAGCAGCCCAGGCCGAGTCGCTGGTGGGATGAGAGGGCTGGTAGTGCAATGGAGGGACATAGAGCCTGGGAGCTCACAGCCTGCAATAGAAATGCATTCCTAGAGCAGATAGATCCCTCCCCAGCCAAGGATTCCCCTAAGCCTGTTCATCCCAATGGAAAAGCTCTCAGACACAAAAGGGACAGAGACTCCCTCTGCACAACAGTACAGCAACACTGTGCAATGGAAACCATCATTTGCAGTACCCAGAGCAAGGATGGAGGTGCCCAGCATCACACACCAACACTGCACTGGTAGCACCAGAGGGGAAGTGGCATCAGAACAGACATGTAGACAAAACCCTGCAAAGGCAGAGCTGGAAGAAGTACAAGTGCAACATGGCACCAACTGCCTGCTCTCTGCATCTTTTCCAACCAGAGGAGGTGTAGGAAGGAACAGGAAGGAATATAGCAATCTTAGCATCACCATGACCCTATCAGCACCAGTGCTGCTGTCCCAGCCACCACAGTAATAGACGGCCTCGTCCTCGGGTTGGACCCCAGTGATGGTTAACGTGCCCGTGGAGCCGGACTTGGATCCAGAGAATCGCGAAGGGATGTCCGAGGGTCTCTTGTTGCTACCATAGATCACAGTGACAATGGCACCGCCAGGCACCTTCTGCTGGTACCAGCCATAGTCATAGCTGCTCCCGGAGCAGGTGATCTGGGCGTTCTTTCCTGGCTCCACTGAGAGCGATGGGGGCTGAGTCAGCGCTGCCTGGACCAGGGAACCTGGAGAGGGAGAGGAGAGAGAGGACTGGTGAGGGGGACAGGGCCTCTGTGCACAAGGGCCCCAGTCTGGCCGGGGCACATGAGCCATTGACAAGCATCACAAGGAGGAGATCAGAACACGTGCTCCATGGCAGGAGCCGCCTCACAGGAACATGTCCTGCTCCAACACAGCATCCAAGCAGCACCTGCAGCAGCAGGCAGCACCTGTGGCATCAGCGGCCTTGGGTGTGCTGGGAGTCAGCATGACCCTGAGCAGCTCTGGTGCCCCAGCCAGCACAGGAGAAGACAGCCTCTGCCTCAGCCTGGAGCTCCGTGGTGAGGAGCATGGCCATGGGGAGAAGCACCTTCCCTGGTGCTGCACAGCCCCTTGCCAAGTGACAGGGGACGGGCACAGACATGGGGGTCTAATGGACAGCCGAGCTGGGACATCAGGCTCAGGCGCTTGCAGCACAGGGCATGGCTATGGCAGAGACCTGTCCCACCACCAAACAGGGGCAGCAGAGACTCCTAACTGGCTCCTGCAATGCAGGAAGGTTTTTGTATCACTTCCCTATTGCTCCATTTCACCACGTCAGCATTAGTACTGCTGTCGTACCTCCCATAGTTGTAGATGGCCACATCCTCGTCTTGGATCCCAGTGATGGTTAACATGCCCCTGGTGTCACACCTGGACCCAGAGAATCACGAAAGGATGCCCAAGGGTCTCCTGCTGCTCTCATAGATCACAGTGACAGGGGCAGTGCCAGGCACCTTCTGCTGGTACCACCCAACAGCATCACTGCTGCCAAGCTCAGATTAGGTGGGGTCACGGTAGGGACCTGCCCAACCATAAGTCAGGGACAGCAGAGACTCCTGACAGGTCCCTGTGGTGACGGGGGTTTTTGTGTCACTTCCTCATTTCTCTTTGCCACCGTGCCAGCAGCAGCACTGCTGTCATAGCTCCCACAGTAATAGACGGCCTCGTCCTCGGGTTGGACCCCAGTGATGGTTAACGTGGCTGTGGAGCCGGACTTGGATCCAGAGAATCGCGAAGGGATGTCCGAGGGTCTCTTGTTGTTATCATAGATCACAGTGACAATGGCACCGCCAGGCACCTTCTGCTGGTACCAGCCATAGTAGCTGCTGCTCCCGGAGCAGGTGATCTGGGCGTTCTTTCCTGGCTCCACTGAGAGCGATGGGGGCTGAGTCAGCGCTGCCTGGACCAGGGAACCTGGAGAGGGAGAGCAGAGAGGGGAGGAGACGGGGGTCAGCCAGTGCCCAGGAGCACAGCCCTGCCCGGGCAGGGGGAGAGGGAGTGCGCAGCTGGAGGAGAGCACAGCTCTCATTCAGGCAGGTGTTTGCTCTGCCTCTATGCTTTCCTTTTAACCAAAACCTAATTATTCAAACTTACACCTAAACAATGACTGAGTGTGACAGATGAACAAAGAAGGTGGAGTTTAAAGCTCATGCTGTCCATAAGAGATTGTGGTCAAGTTCCCAGGGCCACTGTGTGGTTTGTGTCAATAATTAATACGTGGCTGTTTGGTCTCTTTTTCAGGACATCGAAACAAAAGACACATGGAGGAGCAAGGTCTAAATCTGTTGCAATTTTTCAGCACAAGGGAAGGAACCGTCAACAAAGTGTTGTTACTACAAACACCATCCGTCAGTTTCTTCTAACTGATGTATGACAACCAAGTGATTCATAAGCATACACACAGGTACGGCAAAGACCAGAGCCACTGCAAGACAGGGGCAGAAATAACCAAATAGGACTCTAAGTAGTGTGAGAGAACATCTCAGCTGCATGTGCCCCATTGTGTCTGCAGGAAAAATGCTCCGACTCCCTCCTGTCCATGGTCGCAGGCACATTTTGGGAGCGGGGCCCAGCTGAACACATCCCAGCAGAAAGGCAGCTCTGGCATCAGCAGGAGGACATGGCCCTCAGTAGCAAGAGGCAGCAGGGTGGCAGAAGGTGCCACGCTATAAATACTGTGGGGAGGAGGACAACGGTCCCAAGCCACAGAGTAACCCCTCCAATTCATTGGGACAGGAAAGGGAGGACGTTCACAGCTCTGGCTGTGCAGAGGGGACAGGAACTTGCCTCAGCCCCACAGCCAAAGCTCTGCTCAGCCAGGACAAAGAGGGTCACAAACCTCCCCCTGATCTTGGAGTATGCATCTCACTTTCTACTACTCATTGCCAGCAGACACCATAGCTGCTGCTGCTGTCCCAGCTCCCACAGTAATAGACGGCCTCGTCCTCGGGTTGGACCCCAGTGATGGTTAACGTGGCCGTGGAGCCAGAGCTGGATCCGGAGAATCGTGAAGGGATGCCCGAGGGTCTGTTGGTGTCCTTATAGATCACAGTGACAATGGCACCGCCAGGCACCTTCTGCTGGTACCAGCCATACCAGTTGCTGCCCCCGGAGCAGGTGATCTGGGCGTTCTTTCCTGGCTCCACTGAGAGCGATGGGGGCTGAGTCAGCGCTGCCTGGACCAGGGAACCTGGAGAGGGAGAGGAGAGAGAGGACTGTGCAGGGGGACAGGGCCCCTGTGCACAAAGCTCCTTAAGGGCACAGAGAGGCCCCAGCTCCACAGACAGAGCTCAAGGAGTGAGCCCTTCTACCAGAAGCAAGAGGACATACCCGACAGCAGCATGAAGAGGGAGGCAGACAAAAGGCACACATGTCTTTTGCAGGACACACACAGGCACAGGGTCACATCCTGCACGGTTCGGTATAACCAGAAGGACATTCACAGACATGGCCATGCAGAGGGGACATGAAGCTGTGCAGGACAACAGCCAGCTCCCCAGGGAGGGAGAAGCATAGAGACCCTCCTCTATAGCTCACTTTCACATCTGTCTGTACCATAACAAGAGCACCAGTGCTGCTGTCATAGCTCCCACAGTAATAGACGGCCTCGTCCTCGGGTTGGACCCCAGTGATGGTTAACGTGGCCGTGGAGCCAGACTGAGATCCAGAGAATCGCGAAGGGATGTCCGAGGGTCTCTTGTTGCTACCATAGATCACAGTGACAATGGCACCGCCAGGTACCTTCTGCTGGTACCAGCCATAGTTGTTGCTGCTCCCGGAGCAGGTGATCTGGGCGTTCTTTCCTGGCTCCACTGAGAGCGATGGGGGCTGAGTCAGCACTGCCTGGACCAGGGAACCTGGAGAGGGAGAGGAGAGAGGGGACTGTGCAGGGGGACAGGGCCCCTGTGCACAAAGCTCCTTAAGGGCACAGAGAGGCCCCAGCCCCACAGACAGAGCTCAAGGAGTGAGCCCTTCTACCAGAAGCAAGAGGACATACCCGACAGCAGCATGAAGAGGGAGGCAGACAAAAGGCACACATGTCTTTTGCAGGACACACACAGGCACAGGGTCACATCCTGCACAGTTCGGTATAACCAGAAGGACATTCACAGACATGGCCATGCAGAGGGGACATGAAGCTGCTGCAGGCCAACAGCCCAGCTCCCCAGTGAAGAAGGGCAGAGACCCTCCTCTATAGCTCACTTTCACATCTGTCTGTATCGTAAGAACAGCATCAGTGCTGCTGTCATAGCTCCCACAGTAATAGACGGCCTCGTCCTCGGGTTGGACCCCAGTGATGGTTAACGTGCCCGTGGAGCCGGACTTGGATCCAGAGAATCGCGAAGGGATGTCCGAGGGTCTACTGCTGTCACCATAGATCACAGTGACAATGGCACCGCCAGGTACCTTCTGCTGGTACCAGCCATAGTTGTTGCTGCTCCCGGAGCAGGTGATCTGGGCGTTCTTTCCTGGCTCCACTGAGAGCGATGGGGGCTGAGTCAGCGCTGCCTGGACCAGGGAACCTGGAGAGGGAGAGGAGAGAGGGGAGGAGACGGGGGTCAGCCAGTGCCCAGGAGCACAGCCCTGCCCGGGCAGGGGGACAGGGCCCCTGTGCACAAGGGCCCCGTGTGGGCACAGTGGGTCTGGGAAAGGCACCTGAGCCATGGGCGAGCAGCGCGAGGAGCAGAGGGGCCCAGGCCATGGCACGATCCCACCAGCTCCTTCTCCCTACCACCATGGGGCTGTGCCAGGGACGTCAACTCCCTTTTAAGCCCCCACCTTCCCAGGCCATGGCTCTTCCTTGGATCACGGCAGGATCCTTCCTGCAACTCTCTCCTCACCTCCCTCCCAGCTCCCTGAGCAGGAGCCGCTTCTCTTTCAGCTCCACAACAGAACTGCAGAGCAGAGAGCTGGGGTTTGAAGGGGACTGGAACCACACGGAGACCAGGCGCTGCCAGGCTACCCAGCAGTGAGGAAACCCAGTTCCTCCAGCTATAAAGCGAGCCATGGGCCTCCAGCGGCTTCAAAGCAACCACAAACAGACTTGGGCTGGATCTTGTATCAGTCAAGTGCACGTAATCATCCTCCACATTCCCCTGGCTGGGAGCAGCCCCTGCTACCTGCACCACGGAGTTACCCACAGGCACCTGGTTGTCCCCAGCCCTTTTGCCCCATGAACATCAGGACTGTGGTGCAGGGCCACACTGACACCATGTGGGGACAAAGGTGGCCCTCAGGGACAGCAGCAGTGGAACTGAGAGCAGAGCCCAGCACAGGACTAGCCCCATGCTGTCCCTCCTCGCTGACAGCTTCCACCATGTCAAGAGACATCTCCAGCTCCTGCCACAACCTTCAGGACTTCTGTGTGGGACCATGAGCAAGGCACCCCATGCTCAGAGAGGCAGCCTCACACACACACACAGGGCCTTTAGGCACAGCTGCTGTCACCAGAGGAGGGTGGGCATCAGCCCTGAACTGGCTGGGAGCACAAGGACCAGAGCAGGATGGCACAGGTAACAGCACTTCTCCCAGCTTACATGAGCCACACGACCAGATGCAGGACAGGACATTCTGAGGGCATCAGGAACCAGTCACACAACAGCTCTGTGCTACCAGGAGCTCTGTCACTTCCGCACCCTCCACATCCACCATTACAATTGCTGCCCCCATGCACGGTAGACAACAGATGGTCAACCAGAAGCACCCAACCATAGCCACCCTGGGGGCACCAGGATGCTGATCAGCACTGCTGCTGTCCCAGGCACCACAGTAATAGACAGCCTCGTCCTCGGGTTGGACCCCAGTGATGGTTAACGTGCCCGTGGAGCCGGACTTGGATCCAGAGAATCGCGAAGGGATGTCCGAGGGTCTCTTGTTGTTCCAATAGATCACAGTGACAATGGCACCGCCAGGCACCTTCTGCTGGTACCAGCCAACAGCACTGCCACTGCTAAGCCCGGAGCAGGTGATCTGGGCGTTCTTTCCTGGCTCCACTGAGAGCGATGGGGGCTGAGTCAGCGCTGCCTGGACCAGGGAACCTGGAGAGGGAGAGGAGAGAGGGGAGGAGACGGGGGTCAGCCAGTGCCCAGGAGCACAGCCCTGCCCGGGCAGGGGGACAGGGCCCCTGTGCACAAGCTCTTTAAGGGCACAGAGAGACCCCAGCCCCACAGACAGAGCTCAAGGAGTGAGCCCTTCTACCAGAAGCAAGAGGACATGCCCGACAGCAGCATGAAGTGGGAGGCAGACAAAAGGCACACATGTCTTTTGTCAGGACACACACAGGCACAGGGTCACATCCTGCACGGTTCGGTATAACCAGAAGGACATTCACAGACATGGCCATGCAGAGGGGACATGAAGCTGTGCAGAACAACAGCCCAGCTCCCCAGGGAGGGAGAAGCATAGAGACCCTCTTCTGTAGCTCACTTTCACATCTCTCTGCTTCACAGCAACAGCACCAGTGCTGCTGTCATAGCTCCCACAGTAATAGACGGCCTCGTCCTCGGGTTGGACCCCAGTGATGGTTAACGTGCCCGTGGAGCCAGACTGAGATCCAGAGAATCGCGAAGGGATGTCCGAGGGTCTCTTGGTGTCACCGTAGATCACAGTGACAATGGCACCGCCAGGCACCTTCTGCTGGTACCAGCCATAGGCATAGCTGCTCCCGGAGCAGGTGATCTGGGCGTTCTTTCCTGGCTCCACTGAGAGCGATGGGGGCTGAGTCAGCGCTGCCTGGACCAGGGAACCTGGAGAGGGAGAGGAGAGGAGACGGGGGTCACCCAGTGCCCAGGAGCACAGCCCTGCCCGGGCAGGGGGACAGGGCCCCTGTGCACAAGGGCCCCGTGCGGGCAGAGCGGGTCTGGCCAAGGCACCTGAGCCATGGGCGAGCAGCGCGAGGAGCAGAGGGGCCCAGGCCATGGTGCAATCCCACCAGCTCCTTCTCCCTACCACCTGTGCTGTGGGCATTTGCTCCCTCTTAACTCCCCTCCCACCTTGGCACAGCCCCTCTGTGGAAACAGGGTCCCTGCACTCACAGCCAGCTCCTGTCTCGCTCCTTCGCCATCCACTGCAGGCACATCTCACCCACCAGTTTCACCAAAATCAGTCTGGACTGTCTGCTCACAGGGTCACTCAGGTGGGAAAACCAAGTCCTGCTTCACACCAAAGCTCCATAAAGGGGTTTTCCTTAGGTGTCACAGGACTATAACCATCTGGATCAAGCTGTCCAGGCAAGTGGTCCTCAGCTCTGGTTTTCGTTACATACAGCCTTAGCCAAGACATGCACCACAGGATAGCAGACACACTTGTGTACCCTGCTCAAGCATCTTCTGCAGCCACCTTAGCACAGCACCACGCAGCAACCAGGCAAACCACAGCTTCCTTCAGCCATCAGTGCCCCCTCACTGCAAATTCCAGCCCACCTCCGTCTTGTTGAAGCATGATGAATAGGACACAGACACATGAAGACTGGTGTTTATTATTCTATCCAGTTTACAGAAGAGGTTCTATGCCAAACTACCACCACCCTCTGCAATTCCTTATTTAGGAGCATAGCAGTTTCTCCAAAGACATAGGAGATTCTCTACAGTCCTCTCTCTTCAGTTTCTTCTGTTTGGGAACCAAGACTAACCGTGGTGTTTCAGGGCTTTTTCTTTTACAAGCTCACAGTAAAGCGCTGTGGCAACCTTATTGTGCAGCAGCAGCACCCCCCGGTGGCCTGCCGCCACCTAGACTTAACCGGGAAGAGAAGCAATGAAAGGGGGTGAGAAGTCAACAAGCAAGTCGGACATGATTCAGTACTTCTTGAACTCAATTCTTTCTACTTGCACATCATCCTCAATTAGCTGGTATACATAAGCCACAACAGTGGAAGCCTGGATATCCATCAACACAAATGAAGGGATGATGTTCCTGGAAAGAAAACATACTTTGTCCATCTTCCCAATCAACTCACACTTCTTGCTACGAACATACCTTATGTTTATGTGTTCTAATACACCCAGCTGCAGGGATCTGGGAACCTGCAGTTTGCAGGCACCAACCGCAGCCCCTCAGGCAGAGTTGCCCTTTGCCTAGTGAAGCCCAAGTCATGCCTGGCTGAGACATTTAAGCTGACAGTGCCTTCAATAGTCTGATATTCTACAAAATATTAGCATGCAGCTTCTGGGAAGACACCAGAAAGCAAAGCAACTTCAAGAAGCTGCTCAGCTCACCCCTTCCAGGCCCAGGAAGAAGCCCCAGACACACCAGTGCTGGACTGGCACATGGACTAAGTCAAACCCTGGTGACAGGGGAGCCCCACTGCATCCCCAGGGAGGGCAGACAGCTGGCCTCCTGCTCCCCACAGCACCTTAGCAGCATTCTGCAGCACAGTGGCTGGACACTCACAGGTGAACACAGACATTCCGGTATCACCTATGGGCTCTGCTGTGCTGGGCAGCTCAGGGCTCCCCTCACTCACGTTTCCAAAGCATTGTAGGCTCCTGTAGCTGATCCCGGGTTGATGTAAAATTTGTTTTCATGTTCAAATGCTTCAAATCTGTGCGTGTGTCCAGAGATGAGAATGTCCACATCCAGCTGCCTCTGCAGCAGGGCCAGGCTGGCCACATCGCCCCAGGGGATTACCTGATGGCCATGAATCAGCCCGATTCTGAACTGCCCGACAGTTACAACCTTCTCTTCAGGATAATTCAGGCTCTGAAAAGACAAAAGGCACAGCTATAAATCAGCCAGAGAGCCCTCACCTACACAACACAGGTTCCTACATCCCAAAACATAAACCTGCTTTTCACTTTTGGAGAGCACAAGGTCTTTCTCAACGCGCAGACCCACGGGATACTCATACCACACCCCAGCAAGAGAAACCACAGAGCAGAGTGAAGAGTTTGTGCAGAGATCAGGTGCCCCAAGGCTGCCCAACAGCAACTATGCACACACACAAGCCCCCAGCTCCTGGAGCTACGCAGGCAGCTGGGGAGCTCCTGTGGCCTGTCAGCAACCACAGACAGACCTGTGCAGAGTCCATGGGAGCCAAGTGCATCGACTCCCCCAGGCAACAGGGGTCTAGAAAATAATTCTGTTTCTTCAGTGTTACTCATTCCCACCTCCTATCCTGGTGAATAACAGCTTAGGAACTACTAACACTGAAGGGCTCCCAAGTTTAATCGAGGCCACAGATTCCTCAGGAAGGGGAAGCAGCAAGAACATTACCTCAGCGTCCCCCCTAACAACGTGGACGTCCCCAGCCAGGGTCCGGAGGTAGTCATAGGTCTCCTTGGTGCAGAGGTTCCCTGTACACAAGATGTGCTGAATCTTTCCCGGAACCAGCAGCTTCTTGAACTTCACAGGTAGCCCAGAGCACCGGTGTGGGATGTGAAGGTCCCCTAACACTAACACCAACTCCACACACAGCAGGGGGAAAACGAGAGTTAAACTCGGGGTACTCAACAGAACAGCACAAGCCCTTCCTGCCGCCCCAGGGCGTTCACAAAGCCCGCCGAGCCACTACGGGCCCAGCAGGGGTTTCAGTCCGATACAGCCGTGAGGAAACACCGCCGGCACTCCCGGCAGCCAGCCCGTTCCCTCGGGGGAGCCAGGCCCGCAGCTGAGGGGGATCAAAGAAGCGGCGGGGGCCAAGCAGCCGCCCCACGCCGAACCCCCGGGCGCGGGGCCCGGCCCCCGGAGGCGCAGGGAGAGCTCCGGTCCGGTCCGGTCCAGGCCCGGTCCAGGCCCGGCCGCCGCTCACCATCGCGCCGCTCCACTCCACGCCGTTACCAGGACGCGCACAGCGGTAACCAGGACGTGACGCATCCTTTTTCTCCTCCGCCAAGCCAATGGCAGCGCCAGCAGCTCCCCACGTGATGTCGGCGCCCATGGATGGGTCCTAACGCCCGCCCGTGTGCCCGCTGCTCTGCGCAGGGGGCGAAGCGCTTTGGCGTGTTCGTTACCTCCCCCCCAGTGTTTTAAGTGAAATCTATGGGATTTTTGTGCAAAATGCAGGCTCTTTCTGTGTGGAAACGTGCATACAAAGTACCTACAGGTGTCTGCGTGGTTACACGCGTCCTTTTCCTTTCAGAAGACTGGGGGGGCTGGGGCTGAGCAGGGGCTGGGGTGGGTGGTGAGGGGAGATGGCTGCGCGGAGACACGGGTGAAGGAACGCGCTGGGGGCCTCGAGACGGCTTTGAGGGTGCTGCGGAAGGGGACAGGTCCTTGGGGCATGGGGACAGCGTCCCCGCGCAGGGAGGGCTCTGGCTCTGGTGAAGATGGGCTCTGCCAGGGATGGGTGAGCTCCATCCAGGTCCCGCAGACCCCATCAAACTCCCCCCCCTCCACGGCGCTTCTGGGTCACCCTCCCCATCGGGTACCCGCAGGCACGACCACATCCCTGCAGAGAAGCCCCAGGGGCTCCTCAGGACATCGCACACACGACACAAGCCCCGTGGCAGAGGATTAACCTTTATTATCAGGCGAAACAAACCACGCAGAAGCCCAAGCTGGATCAAGCCCACGTTGTGCCAAGTGGAGGAAGAGCCCGGCCATGGCAGAGCTCGCACCGCAGCAGGAAATCCCTGCTAATGCGCCCCAGGGCCGAGCCCTGGCTGGTCTCACACTGTGTCAGGCTGCCCAATGCTCCATGGGGGACACGGGGGTTGAACAGGAGGTTGATGCACCTCACAGCACAATGCAGTGCTGCCGGGCTAGCTGCAGCACACTAGAGGGACCTTTTCTATTCCTCCTAGAGCTGCCACCTCCCTATTAAATAACTCATGTCAGCCTTGCAAGGGGAAACGCAACAAGCTTTTGTTCTCTTGCTTCTAAAACCGGTTGAAGGCAGCTGACAGGGAGCAGTAATAGTTGCCACTGTCTTCATCACAGATGGATGTGATGGTGAGGATGCAGGCATTGCTGGCGATGTCTTTGGTAGCAGAGAAGCGGTCGGGAGTCTTGGTGGCCTTGTGCTTCTCTCGCTCAGAGTTGTAATAGAGCAGATATGTCAAGTTGTGTCCCGGGCGCTGCTGGAACCAGGAGATGCCGAAGTCACTGATGTTGTACTGGGGGCTCAGGGTGCAGGACAAGCGAGCAGTCTGCCCGGGCAGCACCAACATGAAGGTTGGCTGGGTCAGCACAGGCACAGCCCTGGAAGCTGCGCACCAAAGATGCAGTTACTGATGGGCTGAGCCATGTCCCACATCACCCTCAGCCCCAACGTGTCCCCGTGTCCCTTCAGGCAATCCCATCACCCCATCTCCATCCTCCCATCACAGCCCTGGAGGAAACGCCCTGCTGAGACGAACACCCCCTTGTACAGCCCAGTCCTGCCACCACCCCACACGAGACAGCAGCTTGCTCAGCCACACCATTCGTACCTGTCTCCATCATCCCCACCAGGAGCAGGACCATGAAGCCCAGGGCCATGGCAGGACGCGGAGGACAGGAGTCTGTTTCGGAGAGGGTCTGCAGTGCTACAGGAACGCGGGTGCTGTGCTGCTGCTGCTGAGGTGTATGTAAATGACACAGGGGGCTTGGGGAATACAGCTCCTCACGTTGCTTGCTTTGCTGCAGCCAGGCTTCAGGGAGCAGGCCCGAAGCAGTGGGGTGAGAGCTAAGCATTGCGCCCCACCACCCGCACACCCCAGGCTAGGCCATTTCCTCCCGGCGCACTGATGCACAGCCCATCGCTCCCTGCCCCAGCACTGGGGTACAGCAGCACTGACCAGCCTTCCTCTCTGGGGGGGGACAGAGAGCTTTCCCTGGGACCTTTTGCCCTCTGCCACCAATACGCAAGGGGCCTGAGCCACGCCATGCCAAGGGTGCCCTGCGGCAGCAGCAGGCTGGGACAAGCTGGCTCTGCTGCCACCAGGGACAATGACAGATGCGCCAGAGCTGCCCCAGCAGCTGGCTCACGGCAGAAGCAATACAAGGACAGTTGCTGTCCCCTTCTCCATGCAGCTGCACCAAGAATGACTGCCGCACGGCACAGGCTGGGAGCTGCCGCGGGTGTGAGAGCTCTGCCGTGGGCAGACACACCGGGGGGGCTGCCGAGGTCACCGGCTACGAGGCATTTCCCAAGGGAGCGGGTGCAGCGAGACACGGCTGCAGCTCAGCTGGCGCGGAAGGAGAGCAGACCGTTACAGGCAGGGCTGCCCGACACAGCAGCGGTAGCACCCTGCTGCCCGCGACACCCAGCACAGGCCAGAGATGCCACGTTACACTGCCAGGGGCTGCCCTCTGACCCCAGCACATCACTGCAGCCACCATGCAGCCCATGGCAGACCTTCACTGCAGGGTGGTCGCAGTGTCCTCACCAGCACTGCCATCCAGGGGTGGCTCTTTCCCTCCCCTCTGGAGCACCCAGCCCTGCTCCCAAGCTGTCCCCAAGGCAAACATGTTTGCAAGTGGCTCCTGACACACCCGGCCCACTCGATCTCCTGGTTTGAGGGAAAAGGCAGCTCTGAGGTAGAGCCCGGCCTTGTCAGATCTCCCTGCAGTGTGTCCCTGGCACAGGGAGAAACTGATGAGGAAGCACCACCTGCATCCAAGGATGCGGAACTGCAGGCTGGGCACTTGCCACTGTGGTGCCACCCTGCACTGCTCTGAGCAGGGGCACCCAATGCATTGCCTGGTTTTAGCTCCTTCTCTACAAGTTGGTCTAAAAAAAGCACTTACACAACCTCCCTTGGGAGCAGAGAGGGGAAAATGAGAGCAAGAGGTGCTGATGGGGACAATCAGAGCAGCTGTAACACACATGCCACAGAGCAGGGCGCTCGCCTGCAGCATGCATGAAGGTGCCAGTTAGACCTGATGGAATCACACAGTACCTTATGCAGCTGGACTGCTGCACATGGTTGGGCAGCAAGGGCTGTTGTGCACCTGCCAGGGAGATGTGGAGCACATGGGTGCCACACAGCAGTCCCTGCACCTGCAGCTCTGTCCCATCCAGGCAAAATTGCTGCCTCAGACTTACCCCAGCCAGCCCCTACAGCAGGCGGCACCAGTGGCACAAGACCAGCTCCAAAGCCTGTTCAAGGCTGGGTGCTCAACTCCACAAGGCAAACAGGAGCCACCCTGTGCTGTGTGCTAGGTGAGGCACATCACACACCCCCATCCATGGGTTAGACAGGGACTGTGAAAGGAAGACCCACCAAGGGCCAAGGAAATCAATCACCTCCTCCTGCAAGAAGCGGTGTTTTGAAGAACGGGACCTTGTCCATGGTATGTTTGTTACAGTGAGATACAGAGGGAAAGCATCAGCTTCACCTCAGCTCTGGGGCCATCTGGGCACCTGGAGCAACTTCCAGGCAGTGGGCTCATAGGGAGGGACAAGGGCACCTCAATGCCCAGGGAGCAGGGCAGGAGAGCTCTGCCAGGCACAGCTGCATCCTTTGTGTTATCTGTTTTAAAAGGGAGATCTTTAACCTCTACACGATGAGCAATGGAGGACAAAACCCAGCAGAACTGAGCTGATTCAAGGAGAGAAGCCAGAGGCAGCTCTAGGGGATCACTGGATGGGGGCTCTGCTTGCACAGACACAACCAAGGGGAATGGGGGGTGTGTGACAGCTGCCAGCAGAGCTCCTCTGCTCCGGCTGTGTGAGAAGGGTTCCCTGGCTCTAACCCTGTCCCTCAGCTTCAGAGAGCGGGTACCGGCGGCTGCTGGAGGGAAGGGGCAGATCCTGTCCTGACCTTGCCCAGTTGGCTCAGAGCCCTTGCCTGACGTGCACAGCTGAAGCCGCCAGGCACACGCGGAGCCTTTGCTCCCTCTGCTATTTGAGCTGCGGCCACCGACGTGCGTCAGCCCCGGGGGTTTCTCAACCCTGACAAACTCGGTGAGAGATCACGGCCACAGCGTCCTGCAGCGACTGAGCCACAGCCTCCAGCTCCGTCCCCTTGTGACCAGCAGGGATTCATGGAAGGGGCCAGCGCTCACTGCTTCTTCCTGCTCATGCCTGGTGAAATAACAGAGACACTGCATGAACCAGAATCATTTTCCCCAGATCAAAAGAACTCATCCCTGCTCCTAACCTGGAGCGTTCCCAGCACCAAACACCAGCAGACGAGGCTGTAATACAGCAGCTGGAGCCCTGCTGAGGGCCACACAGGGACCCTACCGTTGCTGGCTGTGACAGTGGGCACTTCTCAGCCACCCACTGTGCCTCCTGTCCTTCAGGCCCCTCGACCCAGGGTGACCACACTCCTAGCTCAGGGCTCACCCCCTGGGTGCAGCCAACTGCCAAGAGATGGTGAACCTCCAGTGCTGCGTCCTGATCCCCATTGCTTGTCTGAAGAGAAGGTGGCAGTGCAGGCCTGAAGGTACAAGTGCTCCTGAGCAGTCACCAGGGAAGGTCCCTCACCCACCAGCAGAGAAGTGGCAGAAGGTGACAAACAGCTTGCCTGGGAATCCCAGATGATCCCAAAACACAGTGAAAGGGGCCGCAAGCCTCCTCCCCTCGAGACCTGAACACATCTTCAAAGCACAACCTGCCAAGGAGATCACCTCAAAGCCCACAGACTCGTGCTGGCTGCACAGGGCACACTGGACCTTATTCACGTTTCTCTGCTTCCAGACTGCACCCACCTGCTGCATGAAACAGGAACCCTGATGAACCTGAGCAAAGTGGGAAATCCTGCATCCGAATTCACCTAGGGTTAAGGATCACTACAGCCTCAGCCATCCAGTGAGACAGCAGAGCTCAGCCGCTGCTTTGGGCACGTTGGTGTCACACCACAGAACCCCTCTTACATCCCAGAACCAATGACACAGCTTTGGAAAGGGGCTTTATTCACTTGGACATGGCACAGTAGCTCTGAGGCAGCCGAAGCCAGCTTGGATTAAGACCTGAACCTTGTGTTTGTCCGAGATGGCTGCACTGTGGGAGAAGGAACCATTCCCAAGCAGAGCTCAGGAGAGATGAGTCCATTCCCCCATTCTGCTGCAGGAGGAGAAAGCTCTGAAGGAAACCAAAGCCAGAGGAACATGCACCTCTATCACTGGAGGAGCCCACCTCCAGCACCATCACCATGCTGGCAGCGGCCTTCCAGAGACCAGCGAGCTGCTCAGGAGCTCCAGCAGCAGCATTGCCAGCACTGAGCCGCAATGGGCCAGAAGACAGCACACAGCTGCTCCTGATGGCTCTCCTGTACAGCTTCCACCTCCCCAGCACCACCAGTCCCCAGCATTCATTCCTTAAAGGGAGTCAGTTACAACAGCTCCTTCACAGTGGTTCCTCCTGCTCGGGAGCCTGGGGCTTCTCAGCACACAGAGCTCTTGGGCTTTGAGTCCAACACCTTTTCCCTTTTGGCTGTTGCAGGAGAGCACAAGAAACCCCAGTAAGGGCAGGGGCAGCTCAGCACATCACCCACCAAGAACTTAAGTCTTGACATTTCCAAGGGGCAGGACTCGCACCACCAGCCTCAGTACCTGCTGCCAGCTCTTCCCATGCAGACCTGGATTTCCCCACAGACCCAGGCAAGTGGCTGAGAACCTGCCCCTATTTAGCAGTGAAAGGTCAGCAATTAACAGCTTAATCCTGCCATGAAATTCAGCAGTTCAGCATCTGAAAGCGACTTCAAAACCCTTTCACACCAAACACCACGGGCCCAGCCTGCAGGCAGCACCCACTGTTCTGTTACACTGACAGAGAAAACAGCTCCAAGCTTCACCTGATGCTGGTGACCTTGAGAACATTGCATAACCCACCAAGGCTTAAGCCAGCCGTACCCTGTCACGCAGCCAAGATGGGTATTTCCTTAGCTCCAGGGTCAGAACAGCTCTTCAGGAAGAGGGGATTGGTGGAAAAAGAATTTGTGACTGAAGATACTGTAGGGCACATCCACTGGAGGGCAGCCAATGCAGCCTCTGCTCAGTCATGGATCTGCTTTCGCCAAGTCATGCAGGCACAGTCCTGTGCAGGAAATATGGAGTCATGCCTTGCCCTTGAATACTGATAACTGATAACATTAGGGTAGCTTGATTTCAGCTTGAGAATTGAATAAAGACCATGCACAAGTGATAGGTCCAAATAAACTCATTTATTTCTCTGTAATAAATACAATGCTAGCTGAACTCCAGTCTCACAGCTCCAACCATTCCCTCTCTCCCCTACTAGCCTAGAAGTGAATTACCACTACAAGACTCCTGTGTGGCTCATCTGTTCCCTCCAGCTCACTCCCTGTCCATCCTCCCGCTGCCTGCAGGCAGCAGGGCTCTACATCAGGCTCCTCTTCCCTGCAAGGGCACAGATTCTTCACAGGAGAGAAGAAACACCTGTGGGGAGAAAGCACAAGTTCAGCATTAGGTGCATGTTCCAGCAGCTTTTACTTAAAGGTGACCAGATCAAGACAACTCCAGACAACTGCCTTAGCAGGTGCAACAAGAACTAGGGCATCAAGCAGGGAAAGCAGCAAGCTTCCTACGGCATTAAGAGAGGAGCATCCAGGAGATCATCTATAGGCTCACCACCTTTACAGGACACGGTCAGGACCATCTCCCCTGCCCTTTCCAGTTCCCTTCCGCATTCCGGGACACGGGAAAGACAGAGCTGCTTCCCATTTAAAGCCCTGA